ATTAAGTTGGGGTTTCTTCTTGGCTGCTTTCGCAAAAATTTTGGGATACATCTAAGTGTTGATTGCTTTGATTTTCTAATTGACATTGTATTGATTCATGATTGTCTCAAAATATTCTTGAGGAAAATTATTTTCAAAACGCGGGCCAAAATAATCTAAGTTATCCTCAGATTCTTGGTTGTCGAAGTTCGTCACGTCAATTGAATGTAATTCTTCAAAGACAAAGTTATTTCGCGTGTTTGGGTTCGATCGGAAATAGTCGTTTTGGTTTCGATATTAGTCTCGTCTTATGGAAGGTGTCCTAGACGTTGCGGACATAGGTTCAGGTTTGGGCAAATCGCGTGGGTTTGTTTGTCCGGGCTTGGTTTACCGAAAACTTGACTGTTGGTAAAGTATTTTTGAGGGGGTAGTTGTTTGGGCCTTACGTCAACTGGGCCAGTTGGAAACATTTTTTCTGGGGGCTTAAAGCAATTTTGGTTAAAAGGTTGTTGACCGAATCGCGTTAAGTTACCAAATTATGTGGGGTTACTAAATTGCTGATTTGAAAAGTGAGCGAGATTGGGTGGTACAAACGCATTATTGCTAAACGGTTTTTGATAAAAATTTTGAAAATGTTGATTTGTCGGTGCACTGTTTAAATTTTGGAAGTTCGGTTTTTGAGATTTATAAGGCTCGTTCAGAGTCCCATACAATCTTTCAAAATTTTCGAATTCATTTACATATGCCCTGGCGTCTTCGAGACTTTGCGGTGTTTTTAAATGCATATTGTTTTTTAAGACGCCTGTGCACCCTGCGATAAATGTATTTAGGGCGGTTTGATCATAATGTTTAATATATGAAACCTTTTCTTCCGGTGTATGTTTAGACTCGTTACTTATGCGCTGTGGAATGTCGCTCCTTAATAATTGAAGTCTACTTCCAAAATTTATCAAGTATTCGTTTTTATTGGGCCTAGTCCTAACTAATTCTTGGATTAAACAATTCAGATCTCGGAGATCGGAAAAACATTGAGTCAATGCATCTTTCAATGCTTTCCAATCACTAATTTCTGTGCGATTACCTACTAGAACTGCGGCTCTGTCTACCAGTTTTTCCTGGATACATTCAAAAATATGTTTATTTAATTCCGAATTTGCAAGGGAGGCGTAACCATTAATTAAGCTTTCGCATCTGTTGATAAACTTATTTAAGGTATTGCTATCACCTTCGTAAGGTTGAATGTTTTGAAATTTTGATTTAAATAAATTCCAATTTACTTGGTCTGTCATTTTTTCTGATATTTTTCTTTCACTAAAGGTTAGATTTTTGAAAATTTCACTAATTTCAGATTCTACGTCACTACTTAATGCTATGAAATATTTGCAGCTTGTTTCTGATTCACAATTTAACATCAAAAATTGATCGATTAAAAAAAAATTGTTTCCCTAACTACTTGACGTCCGATACGTCTTGCCTAAAATTATCCCTATTAAAAGCCTTAACGGAGGATCTTAAAGGGGCGAAAGGAAAAAATCGCACTTACGGTTTTCCCTTCCCTGATCCTTTGTTGCACACTGCCTACGAGAGTCTTCTCCGGGTTCGCCAACAAGTTCTTTGGATTGCGCTGTAGCGGTTGAAACCACTCCTCAGGGTAGCCTAATTCGGTAAGTGTCACTTTTCCGCACTTTATTTTCAAAATACAATCGAAAATTAAGAGTTTCTGCAGCAGCAGTTACAATAAGAATAATCATATTACTTAAAACTAAGACTTTATAGGTTCGTACATAACTGTTGAGCCAATCGTTCATTTTACGAGGACCGAATCAATCAGTGACCGAATCATTTCAATCAATCGTTCATTTCAATAGTATTTGATGCCGACATAAACGGCAATACACACTGAATCCGAACAGTCCGAACGACCGATTCAGATTCATATGAATTTGAATTATTGTTGTGTCTATATGTTATGTTTTCTGTCCTAGTTAGTATATTATTTAGCTGTGTTCTGCTTTTTATTGAATCATGATTTTATCAAAATAGGTGCTACGTATTGGGTTGTGCTAGTAATATATTAATTTGTTTAAATTCAATACTTGTCTGGAAATAGATATTTCATTCAATATTCAATTCAACGCATAAGCAAATCTACCAATCGATGTCGCTACTCAATACTATAGAATAATTATAACAATACTTCCATTCCTTTTCCGTGGCCTGTGTCAGTTATGCATTTTTTATCAAAATAGGTGCTACGTATTGGGTTGTGCTAGTAATATATTAATTTGTTTAAATTAAATACTTGTCTGGAAATAGATATTTCATTCAATATTCAATTCAACGCATAAACAAATCTACCAATCGATGTCGCAACTCAATACTATAGAATAATTATAACAATACTTCCATTCCTTTTCCGTGGCCTGTGTTAGTTATGCATTTAAATCTTAAACCATTCAAATGAATCGTATTCCGGCGAATTCGATTTGTGATTGTAAAATCAAAGTGACCGACTCAATCGCGATTGACACAACTCTATTGGAAATACTGTGATCACTGATGCCCTTGCAGTCAGTTGCAGAGTATCTCGTGTAGGCGATAATAAACATCTAGAACCAACGAGAAATTATTGTGGTACAGATCCACTCCATGTCGCCAACCCCAGGATAAGAGAGAGCAATACAAGCCCCACATCTAAAATAAAAAAAAAATTAACAGCAATTTTTATCTGGCAGAAATACATGTACCGAGCGTTCAATTTATTTTGATTTTTTGTTTTTAGAGATATCAAAGTAACCAAAAAAAAAAGAAAATGTAGGGTTAGTAGTAAATTTTTTTTCCAATGACGTATAAAACAATACACTATCAAATTTCTGACATGTAAGCCTACATTATATATTTTTAAATGGAACACCCTGTATATTATATATATGCTTAATGGAATATCTTATTGCGATTACAACACTTTATATTTTAGTCCACTCGTTTTTGGCAAATCGGCAAAAACAGGAAATTTTTATATAATTTCCAAGAGTGCCCTGACTGACAAAAATATGTTTATGTTTGATGTAATAGTAAATAACGTTGATGGTTGAGTTATTATCCAAGTCATTATTGTTAAAATGGTTTTTCGCGAATTTAGCATCCGTGAAAGGATTGATGTCCTCAAGTGTACTTTCTGAATAATAAAAGTGCCACCGCAGCTCGTCGTCAGTATATTAAACTTTATCCAGAGTGCCGAGTTCCGTAGAAACAAATATTTCTAAAGCTGATAAAGAAATTTTCAGAAAACGGCAATGTAATAAATACTAAAAAGGTAAAAAGAAAACATATTAAGCACATCCAGATTCCTTTACTAGAGTAAATGAAAATGAAATATGTATTCAAATTTCGTAAAACTCAAAAACTAAGCGCAGAGTAATGTCTAAGGAGGATGCAGTTTTGTTTTGATTTTTTAAATAGACAATGCGAATAACATTTTTTTGAAAAACATTTTATGGACTAATGAAAGTTCGTTCACTACAAGTGTTCTATTTGGTACTCTAAGAGTTGCAAATAATGATCTCCAGTTAACTTTTGATCTATAAATATTTGACCCAAAATATGCCCATTTATGTCACCACACCATTAATTGATTGGTACCCCTGGGTTTTTGTTTCGTGTATTTGTCTGGGATTATTTATTATTACAATTTTTTCATCAGTCCATAAAATGTTTTTCAAAAAATTATTAATTTCATTATGTACTTCTATTTAAAAAATCCAAACAAAACTGCTTCCTCGTTTGACATTGTTCTGCACATAGTTTTAGAGTTTTACGAAATTTAAAAGCATATTTCATTTTCATATACTCTAGTAATAGAAGAAACTGGATGTGCTTAATAGAATCCTAATACGTTTTCCTTATTTTCTTGATTTAAGACATTATGATTCCGGCATAACTTTTTAGCATTTAATACGTTATCGTTTTCTGAAAATTTCTTTGCCAGCCTTAGGAATGTGTTTTGAAGGAACTCGGCGCTCTGGATAAAGTCTAATATACTGACGACGAGCTGCGGTTGCACTTTTATTATTTAGAAAGTACACTTGAAGCATATCAATCCTTCCACGGATGCTAAATTCGGAGAAAACCATTTTAACAATAATGACTTGGACAATCATTCAACCATCAACGTTGTTTACTAATATATCAAACATATTTTTATCAGTCAGGGCAATCTTGGAAATTATATAAAAAATTTCTGTTTTTGTCGATTTGTTAAAAACGAGTGGACTAAAATATCGAGTGTGTTACATCAATGTAATCGCAATAAGATATTCTATTAAACATTTGATAGTGCTTTGTTCTATACGTTACTTGGAAAAAACTTGGCTACTAACCCTACATTTTGTTTTTTTGTTTACCTTGATATCTCTAAAAACAAAAAAAGTTACAGCCAGTTAAAATGTTATCAAGATAAATTAAACGCGCGGTACAAATTGCATCGTGTCTACCGACCTTCGCTTCATATGAAAATGACGTCAGAGTACGGCAAAATGTTGTACGTAACGGGGGTGAGAAATTGCGTTTCGCGCTTATTACCGTCCATTATTGATACCTGGGGATCCAGTTGAGTAGTGTTATCCTAAAGGGTCATAGCTAAAGAGTGCCTGGTATGGTCAAATGCCCTTCGACAGTTGGCTTATTAATTCTTCGAACAATGTCTCCCATTCCGCTGTTTTTCGTCTGAATAATGTTTTTATCAAAAAGTCTTTCACAGGGTATTTACCTACTATAACATAAGTTTTTACTCGTGGCATTACTTACAATTTCTGAACTACAACCACACAACATACTATTGATAGAAAAAAAACTTTTAAGAGTCCGGGCACAGCATATAATGTACCTGAGCAACTGAGCACAGATACACTAAAAATCTTGGACGAAGCTTAGCTAATCAAAGCTCAAAACCCACTTTTCTATATCGCCTCTTTGACCTTCCAATTGCGGAAGTGGGCGATTTCTTACTAACTCATGACAGATAAGGATGATTTACAGTAAATTTGATGTTTATTATTTGTTCATGTCGGCACTAACTTTTACTCCAAGTCATTTTGCACCGAAAATTATGATCTACCATTCGATTTTTTTCTCAGGAAATCCGTGTTGGGAATTCAACTTAACAAATGAATATTAACCGTAAATTTTAAAATATAGTAGATCAAGCAATATTTTTATCTGTGTTTTAGGTAAAAAACTTAACCCAATATTTTGTCAACAAAATGGTCACTACAGAATGTTTTTAAATGGCATCCGTTAAAATTCCCGAGCAGAAAGTAATTTTATGCGGTGAATATGGTGTGGGAAAAAGCTCATTATTTCGCCGATTTACGAGCAATATTTTTGTAACAGCGACAGATAGAAAATCAACCTTGGGGCTTGATCATTTCGAAAAGCCTTATCACGCCTCCGAGAAGGATATCAAGGTATGTAATATTTTATAAAACTCCTCCGATTTGTCAACTAATTTTTGCATAATTATAACAATTTGCTGAAATATTCCTTTTTTTGCAGTTGCAGTTATGGGATACAGGTGGCATGGAAAGAGTGGCATCAATCACTTCAAGTTATTACAAGTTTGCAGAAGCGGCAATATTAGTTTTTGCTTTGGATAATCCAGCATCCTTCCATGTATTATCGCAACATCTATTAGATATAGTGACATATGCTGAAAACGCCAAAATTTTTTTGTGTGGTAACAAAAGTGATCTGATGACTTACGAGACTCCTCAAATATCCAACTTAGAAATTGAGGCATTCTGGTAAGAGTTCAAGGATGTGCCAAACGGAATTTGTTATATGAACCCATTTTAGTGAGCAGTGTCATGATCTAATTTCTGGAATTTACAAGACTTCATGCAAGACAGGTGAGGGTGTGGAAGAAATGTTCAGTGATATTGCTCGCCAGCTTGTCAAGTGTAACAGATCCCGCTTAGAACTACAGTCTATGGAACAACATGGATTTAAAATAACACAAGGGGAAGAAGAAGAACATCCCCAGGAGAGTTGTATTTGTTAGCTAGTTTAAGGTAATTTTATAAAGTAAAAAAAAAAAACATACAAACATTGTTGGAAAAAACATTCTAGTCCTCAGTTAGTTTTTGTACTTGTAAAAGTGAAATGTGAGATGCTCAGTAATTAAATTTATACATTTTATCAACTGCACTTGTTATTGGTTTATAATAATAGCATAATTCTAATTGATTTGAATATTAACATTGTAGCAGACACAAAACATTTTCATGTGCATATTCTGTAAGAAATTATTGAATAAAATATCGATAAAAATCTAAACTGACAATATTAAACAACAAACCTAACCTAACCTGCAATTTCCAACCAACATAAAAATAACGATATAAAAAAGGAAGAGTATGTAAGTATAAGTCACACAGACAGAGGTACAAAGTGAAGTAAAGCGGGCTTATCAAATATTGTTTGATAATAAACTTTGAATAAAAAAAATATATATTAATTGACCACGAGTGGGCATAATAGCCATCCCGATTTTGGAAAAAATTTCTAAAACTAATCATAGTTAGAGTGAGTAGTGTTTAAAGCTGAGACAAATTTGTTTTGCTATTTATTTATTTCACTTTTTATACAATCCCTTTGAAGCACACAAAATTGCCCAAACTGAAATTACCATGTTTTATCTCATTACATTTATTTTTTAAATGGTTTTCCACATTTTGCTGTTCAAATACGTCATTAGTTAATAAAAATAGTTAGGCTCCAACAATTCATTAGCGACTGAGTTAATAATTAAACCTAATTTTTAATTTCAAAATATTTGAAAACGGGTAAGGATGTCAAACATAGTAATAGCAGCTGGGGGAAATTGGCGCCTTTCAAAGATATTGTAAAAAGTAATAATAAAGGTAAATAATAAAAATAAAACATTTTATTTGATTTTAAATATGATTTCCTATCCTAAATAACAAATTCGCATTTTATTTGGTTCGCTGTAATTTAAAAGGTATTAATAACCCATAAATTGGAGATGTTTCCCAGAATTCAAAAATTTGCCAAATTTTGAGCACTGACTACAAGTAAGTAAACTACTTGTCTATCAACCTGACACTCTCGGGACCCTGACAATCATCATTTATAACTCTCGCGACCCAATAAAGTATAAAAAAAGAATAGGCGACGTTGACTTGGTTATGATGAATACCACCGCATACCACAGAGAAAGACACAATAAGAGAGTTGTTAAACCTGTGTCTGATTTTGTCATCACGTTGTTACTAACGCCACTATTGAGTAGGTACAGTGTGAACCAACGTTTTAAATCTTTTATTTTATATATTAAAAAACATTGTTTGTGTAAACTATGTTACTTTATCTTTTTAAAATCTAATATTATAATTTAAAAGAGAAATTCGTGTATTTTTCAAAAGACGAGGTAGGTCAAAAATTGTGAATTCTTTTTGATTGTTTATCAGAAAACAGTGTCTGGACTACTGTTTTCCTGAGACAATTGTTTAGGAGCCGAACAAATTGTTTCTATAATCATCATATGTTTAATCAGAATTTTTAGTTGTTCTGTATTAACATTGTCTGTATCTAAAATCATTTGTTCAGAAGGAGAAATTTCATCAAAAACTACTGAACAGTTATAATCAATCGGATCCAACGTTTTGATCCTTTTTAATAGATTTGATAGCATTGTTGGGTTAATACCTGCATCAAAGGGACCATTTTATAAAAGTTTACGTAAAGTACTTTTAGAGATTAAAGAAAATATAACACTTCGGACCACTTTTATATATAGCCAAGGCATATGCCTTATCTAAAATTTATCAAGACGGCCTTTTTCTTTTTGAATCTGTTTTTAAAAACTCAAAGGACTGCAGGATCTAAATTATATTCCAAGTTTTTAAACAGAGAAGTTTTGGAAAATTCATACACAGCCTTAATCTTCTGTTTGATAAATATAATCTTTTTTTTAAATTTGTAGATTGTATTTTTTTTATTTTCTGTTAAAAACTTACATTTTTTGTTTATTATTTTGGCGTTATGAGATGTTTGCGTAAAGCAATACATTGAAAGAAACCAGAATTATGGGCAGAAATTCGTAATTTTTTGACAAAAAATGCAACAAATACCGCCTAACAGGCACCGAATATACCTGATTTGGCTCCTTGTGACTTCTTTCTGTGCAATCGAGACAAAAAACATTACGGGGAACGCGCTTCAGCAGCCGAGAGGTAGTAATGGGAAATCACAGACTTAAGTGAATAAATATCATCTATTTTTAATTTTCTGAATCAATTCCAGGAACTTTTTGATCAAGGTGGTACTTTTGTGACGAACTCTGTATAATCGGAATTTTTTAGAGGATAACATTTTTTTACCTGTAACCTATGGCACATATTTGTCACTAATGATATCAGAGCGACAAAAACTAACTTTTTCTATCGTTCAAACACCAGGTGCAATTAAATCAAAATGAAATCGTTTTTGATGTTTTATTGATTTCTATGCATTAACACAAAAAAAAAACAAAATTAACAATAACTGGAAAAACCATTTATTTACAGATCTCCGAATAATAATCACAGACGCTTTAATGTTGGGACCACTTTATCGCTTTCAAATCTACGCCCTCTTGAACCATTTCCCAAAGCGGACTCATTTCTCTTAGCCTTTTGACATGCTCGATACACCGGTCCGCGGTATAATCTATTTCATCCGTTGTCGTAAAACGGCCTATTCCAAATCTAGCATGAAAATAATAGTCTTATTTAATAATAATAATAATAAATTGACACACACAAAATATAAGGTTACCCCATCTATTTTTTTAAATATTACATTAAGTTGTAGGGTTTAATGTGTTGATTTAATATTACATACTTATTTATACAAAATATGTGTTAAAAAAGCATAGTATGTCAAAGTAACATATTTTTAATTGGATGCCCTTTATATTATACTATTTTCGCTGATTTCAAAAATATAACATGTCAAAGTCATATATCTTGTTTATTAACAAAAGATAAGACTAAAAGAAACAATTTGAAACTATTTTGAAATATACAGGGTGATTCATAAATATATGGGAAACAAATTATGAAAAAATCTCGCAATACGCCAACAAAAAGAAAAATAAATATTTTTCGAAAAAATGTTTCCTTTCTTTTCATGAATTTAGGAATTTTGCCTTTCTTAGAGCCCAAAATAATTTTGAATATGTTTTCAGATCGGGTCTTTTAGTGCAACTGTAAGTACATAATTATTTTTTATTAGTTTTCTGAATTAACTGGTTATTAGTTGGTTAACTTGCAACTCTACCATCAATTTTTCGATGGAAGAAATGGTTGATATGATTTTCGTACTTACCTATAATTTACAAACAACAATATGCCGATGGAAGGCACCCCTCTAAAAGAACTCTTGAGAATTTTATAAATCGTTTTAATCACACTGGAAGTGTTGCTTATGAAAAGAACAAAAGAGTCAAGACTGAATGAGGAAAATGAATTTCAAATATTACTTAGCGTGACAGAAAACCCACATGTAAGTGTACGACAAGATTTAATAATTTCTAAGATTTCTGTGAATATTTTGCAAAAAAATATGATGGATCCTTATTATATACATTTTGTGAATGGGCACAAGAAAGAATTTTTGAGCAACATGATTTTTTTTTCGAATATGTGTTATTTATGAATAAAAACGGTTGTGTTAATAGGCATAATTTTCACTATTATACTAACAACTTTTTAGAGCAGAGGTTGCAAAATATGTTAAATGAAGTGAATGTGGATCTTTCCTGATGGAGTTTCAGCACACCATGCCCATCAAGTTACGAACTACTCAAATAATTTATTTCTTCAACGGTGGATTCGTGGAGTGGTCGAATTAGATGGGCATCTAGATTTTCTGTGAGATATGTTAAATGCCCGGAGTATACAACTGTCCCACAACAAAAGAGGGCAAGAAAAGTCTTTCCAAGTGTTAGTCATGAAATGTTAGCCAATACTGCCCAATCGTTTAAGGACCGTGTATGTTCAAGTCAGTCGGAGACCTTTGGAGCAATAAATACAAATAAAGTGTTTGGCAGTTTTTTTCTTAGCTTTTAAGTGTTTTTGCAATGTTAATATTGCATTTTTAAAATTATCCCTAGCGTAATTTATTGTTTAAATTTCTTTTTCCAAACTTGCGCAGTTCATAATTTATTACATTTTCTATTACCATGTAAGTAATGCTATTATCTGAAAGAATTATACCCAATTCGTCATTGTACATTTTTCACGTACAGGTAATAATTATAGTGTTCTCAATCATTTGTGATATTCTCACAATATTTTGTTCAAAAAATACTAAGTTTAGGTATAAGGAATGCTTAACAAGATTGAAAGAGCATTAATATTAACATAATATGCAGTTGTTCCATGTTTCATTTAATATTTTCACGAAAATTAATATTTTTCATTTTGACTCAGCCTATATAAACGAGTCGAAGTAACTTCAAGACAAGTGTACGATAAATAAACACTTTACAAAATTGTTGGCATAATAAAATTAAAACTGCGCTGCAGTGGGTGATAAACTATAAAAGGGAGTATCAATGCAATAATATATTTTGCTTCAAAATTCGATAAAAGAAATATGTTTTCACTTGACGAAAAATTGGAAATATGTGGTACATAGGGTCTCGGAAACTATAACATACGAAACTGTTGAAATGGGCAAACAATTGGACTTTTATAAACTCTACTCAAAACAATTTTAAGTTTTTTAAGATTTGGCTGAGGTTTTTGAAAATTCTGCGTAAATATTAATTATAGCAGAAAATTATATATAGAATATATTTTTGACATATGAAAAAAACTTAACAAACAGAAATATTTTCACGCTCATGAATATTTTGAAAATAATCTTGTCGAACACAAAATATTAGTGAGATCGAAAACATTTCCGGAAACAATTTGACCGTTAGTGTACTTAGGGTTGTGGAATTGACGGGTCAATTTTTTTTGTGACCGAAATAATTTTAAAAATACTATGAAATTTATATTTATTTATATTGTACGTTACGTCGCCGTCGCGTTTTTCAGAGAACTAAATGGAGTCCATATTTTTATTGGGGTTCCCCGAATTCGGGTATTCCTTGAAGAGAGTTATAGGTAAATTGGATATAACAAAAGCATAATAATTTATTATAAAATACATCTTATTATTAAATAAGGACAATGAATTTGACTGGTAAATTAAGAATTAGTAAATTAACCACTACATAAAGTGCGTCAGCCATAATTGTCAACTTTTAAAAGGCTGTGTAATAATTGAATTATCAAATACCACAGGAGGTCAAATTAAATCCGAAATTTTTTATGAGCTCATGAATATTTTGAAAATTATTACGAGTCGAAGATAAAATATTGATGAGTATATCTAGACAGGAACACGCGTTTTATGTCACACTGTGCTAATTTTTGGTGGAATTAAAGATGCCGTCAACAAAAGTATCATGGCCCTCTTGGTTTTTAAGATACAGTGTGAAATGTAAAACTATCGATTTTGGGACCACGATCGTATCTCCATTGTCTTATGGGTTATTGAAGAGTTTAAGAAAAGTTCATATAGGATTTTTTCCGTAGAATCCAGTGGCGTAGTTTTTTACTTGCCCTAAGCAGTTATTAGTTATGAAGCAAACATATACACCCTATATATTATTTTTTACATTATTTGGAAATCATTTAAGCTTTTCACGAATATATTCTAGTATAAAGTTGTTTTGAAAATTAAGCTCAAAATTAGGGAATAAAAAATATTATATTAAGTAACATGATAAACGGCATTTGAGCCACGAGTTTATTTGGTACGAGCGGAGCGAGTGTTTAATAAATGAGTGACACAAATAATTCACTAAACGTGTTGCATAAAATAATTTTTCGACGATCATTAGTTAGAATTGACAAATGTCAACACCGAAGCCGTGGGGTAAAATCTCCAAAAACATCCGATCGCTCCCAAATCAGTGCAGTAATATCCTGAAAATGTCCGAAATATTTTATAACCTGGAAGCCATATTTTGTGTTGTCCCAACCTCACTTTAGGACTGCCATTTTTAAGTGTATAAAAATTCATTTTTGTAAAGATAAAAAGCATTGAGTTATTTATTACAAAACAGGCTAGAATGAGAGAAAAATATAAAATTACACTTTTGCAAATCGAATTTCTATCTATTGGATATTGGATTATAATAAAATGTAAAAGATGGCTGATCTATTTCCTCTAGCATTTTATTTGATACAAAAGATGCAATTCGTTTGCCTTTTTATTATTATCTTAAGAACTATTAAAAAATAATTTATTCTCAATGGGTACAATTTAATAACAAAAGCTTACTTTTATAGCGTTAGTCAAAAAAAGCTATATCTAAGATAATAAAACAACTTTTGTAAAACTGTTTTATTGTATAAGTGTCATAATAATAAAATAATACTTGCCTCCATAACCGTTTTCAATAAAATTGTATTATAATTGTTGTAAACTATGTTTTGTAAATATGTTTATTTTTGATAAGTTATTCGTGAGTTGTGAACTGCAAGCTTAACTGAATATAAAAAAAACAAAAATTCAGGTAAAAATATAATAAAACTAAAATTGAATATAAAAGTTATTTTGCTCTACGTCGAGTTTAATTAAAGGAGACAAAATGTACAAAAATAAAACTTTTCAAGTGTCAATAACTTAAAAACAATTGAGAATAGAGCCATATGACCATCAATAAAACTCGTCGAAAATCTTCAGGAGTTTCCATAAAATAAATATTTAAGTTGTACCATTAAAAAAAACATTTTTGGAATGACTTTTTGTAGACACCCTGTATAATAGGTGCTTTTTGGATGGTAGACGAAAAACCTTTAAAACCTTTAAATTCATTTTTTTTCTTCTAAAATATGTACTTACGGCTATTGGTGGGTGGCGAAATATAAATAAGAACCCTATACATTATAAATTTGGTACTCCTTATATATAGACACAAGGAATATTTATTAAACATTTTTGCAGGTTTTTTAAAAATTTCAGTTATTTTTTACTTGCTAGACAATGAAGAATATTGTGATTTTTTATAATTTAAGTTCTGTATAATGTACTTTTTTGTATGTTCAATAAAAAATGTTCTTACTAAATGTCTTTTCAATGTTTACCTGATTGAACTATGAGCCAAATCTTCATCGGCACCAATCGCTCGCAACACATAAGATGGTTCCAGCGATGCTGACGTGCAAGCCGATCCGCTGGACAAGGCGACATCTTTAAGTGCCATTAATAACGATTCGCCTAAAATAAAAAACGTAGAAACAAAACTTAAGAGACCAAGTAAAAATGAAATGTTTTGTATTATTTCTTTGTTGTCAAAAGAACCATGAACGAAAATGATCACAGCAATATTATAGAAGTAAAAAAACCTACCTGAACTTGGAGAAGGTAGAAGGTCAGAAGCATGGAATTAAGATCGAATAGGAAAAAACATACCATATATTGAAGTTATAAAATATAACACAGAAAAATGTTCAGATTCATAGAGCGAATGTTTGAGAAAGCAATAAATGAAGATATATAACAGATGAGTGGAAGGAAGCACACATAACATCAATATCAAAAACAAGAAGACAGTGTGATAACTACTGAGGGATTATTGATATAGCAACCATGGAGAAACTACACGGCAGAGTATTGAGATACAAATTAGAACACAACATACAAGGAAAAATCGAAGAAGAACATGCAGGTTTTATGGCAGGAAAATCATGAATAGATCATATTTACACAATCCAACAATTATTGAAGAAGAAAAATTACACATAGCATTCATTGATTTAAAAGACTATGACGTTGTAACCAAGAAAAGTGATGGAACAACTGGCTACACCGATAACACTCACAAATGCAATAAAGACAAAATACACATACAGATAAGCAATGAACAGGTTAACAACATCGACGGGGCTACTCCAAGGTTGTTCAAATTTGCCAATATTATTTACAATATGGAACGTAAATGTGAAGACATCGAAATAACTCTGTTTTGCAGATGACTAGATGAAACAAACTAAATGAAGAATATGAGAAAGTATAAAGTATAAATAAACCTAAAAAAACAAGTACCCGACAACAACAGAAGAAGACACAGTGAATGTGCAAATCCAAGAGAATTTCTAAATAAAGAGAACTAACAACTTTAAATATCTGGAATGTACACTATCGAAAAACGCAACTATGGAGGAAGTTATAAATGTCAGTTGAGCAGACATGATCTTGTCTACAACAACTAACATGGGTACCAGAAGTTGAAGATGTTCTACAATGGCGAAATCACGAATGAAGAAATAAGAAGAGGAATGGGGAGACAACTCGACTCCTTAAGGCACATAGATATGAAAAGACTAGTATGATATGGTCATGTTATAAGTACGGAAAGTCGATAGATTAATAAAGTGACAAAATAGAGCCCGGTTGGAAGTACACTCTATGCATTGGAGAGGAATACGAGAGGCATCATGGGATTATCGGACTAAAAATAATTAAGAATAATTATGAATAAAGTGTTATTTCTTTTGAGAAAAACCAATGCATAAACCTAATAAACCACGTAGTTTTTAGCAATACATAAATACCTAATTCCTTTACTGTCACCACCTAATGCGGTACTGCGCGTAATGTTGTCTATTTATGATGCAATTGAACATTGAACAGAATTACATTGTAAGAGGTGGACGTTAAACCATATTCTTTGATTGAAGTATTTTATTCTTTGCACATTTTTTTTTCCATTTTTACAAAAAATAATTCATACAAAAGTTGTTGTGCATTTAAAATTTTAATGTTGGAAGTAGCAGTTTAATATTGGGAGTCTGGAGATACGAGAAATGAATTATGAGGACCCAAGAAAACGTAAAAAAAAATTAATAAAAGATGATGACTTGCCATCATAATTTTCCGATTGCTGTAATGTTACTTATAAATTTATAAGGTCCTATGGTGCATTAAAACTAATTTACTCGCGCAGACATTGCTTATCACGGGAATTCAAAAAACTTCTCCTGTAACTTCTTGGTTTTGTCTCAGTTGAATCACTGCTGTGCACTTTTTAATTAGTTTTGGTTGGTTCTGGTTAGCTGTCTTGACTTGGTGGATAAAATACCAATAGAAATTGAAGATATTAAGGTGATGACTTAAAAGATACAAATAATAATATGTTCAAGGATTTATGCGATATAGCCCATATTGGAGTTATGGATAACTAAATTTTGTTATGACTGCAGATTAATGGATGGAACCATTGAAGATGGATATATGTGGAGTAAGTAATAAATCGAAAATGATAAGAAAATCTTCGCTCCCCTGGTTGTTCAAAGAAATGAAAAATAGTGTTAGTTCAGATAGACTAAAATGTTTTGTTGTAACATCTGCAACGAGACCCAAAAAATTAAGACACTAGGAGCAGCACAGAAGAAGGTAAAATGATTAAAATCCAGATAGTTCAGAAGATGTACATAAATCACAAAATATGATGATAGTCTAGATACAGAAATGTTCTCTGAACATGGTATTGAAATAGAAATTTAACATTAATGAAGCAATGAATCAGTACATCAATATCAATATTAGCGAAGTCAGATTAATATCTCTTACACAAATAAAAAGCAAAACGAACTGATATGTTATTAGTAAATCTCAATTGTTTTATTATTTGCTTGGTTTGTTTGTGGGGATTTACTAGGATTTATAGGGAATTAATGGAGCATTTCCGAATTTCTAAGGATTTAATTGCCAAAAAGGATTTATTGTCTACAACATTTTGGGCAGAAATTTACTCATCCGAAAGTTGATAAAATTGGGATATAAATATGGTTTGTTACACTCTACTGTAATTTTCGATGAGAATTTAAATAATTTTTACATTATATTACATTTTGACAAAACTAACAATCATGTTTATAAAAAAACCTTACGATTGCACAACCCAAAAATACCATAACATAAAGCGGGTTCTGGAAAAAATAAAAGTTTTATACTTTTAACAACTTTAAAAGAGTAACCACAATAGGACTTCACATATCCCATAAGTAAAACTTTATGAAAATCTTGTATTCATGTACATACCTTCAACATAAGCAAACGATAGATTAATGCATCCCGGGTAGCTCTGGATAGGATCACCATTTCTTATGACATGAGGCAACTCGTCAAAAATTTTTTTCAGCAATCTCTGGCTTAGCTTTTCTATCCAAGCATGATCGTAATTCATTTCTCGCTGGCTAATCTCGCAAGCTTGTCCCATACCTACTACCAAAGGCGTGGGCACTGTACCACTTCTTATACCCCTTTCTTGACCACCTCCACTTTGAATTGCCTCTATTCGAACTCTAGGCCTTCTTCTTACATATACCGCCCCGATACCTATAACCAGATAATCTATTTTAATAAAGTTACTTTTAACTAACGTTTTCTGGCGCATTCACAGTTAAATGGGTTTGACCTTTTTTAACACTAAAACAAAGTTTGCTCATCAACACTGAGAATACCAAATTTTTAGTAACAAAATCGTGGAACATGTAAACTTAAACACTTGAGATACATGGGAGTAGAAATAAGAAGTCATGGAAAACTGATTATATAAATTCAAAGAACAAACAATACTCGAATTTCGAGATACTCGCGAGGAATTGTTTGGAAGAATAAATCCCTTAATAGAGAAAGTCAAGATATATAAATCATACCATAACACCAGACACGAACAAAACACTAATGATGAGAACAGCCAAAATGAAATAATGATGGAAGACATAGGGCATCAATGCGGAATACAGGAAAGTGGATGACGCAGAGACGAAAACGGAAAAACAAATAAAGAAAATGGAAGATTCGTAAAAAACGCAGAAATGTTAGAAAACATTTGGAAAAAAATCACATGGAAGACCACGAAAACGATGAAATATGTATTGGCAATGAACAGGCAATAATTTACTACTGTGGTTATTAATGTCAGTTAGCAGAAGAAGAGAAAAAGTACACTATGAAGTCTGAAAGAAAGGCCAATGAGGAAATCCAAATAATGTTCTTTCCTATTTTTGGACCAAATTTGTTGTAAAAACCTGCCACAGTCATGTCCATAATCTTAAGAAAATGTGCTGCACATATTTTTGAATAAAGTTTTTTGGAAAATTTTAATATCCTATCACCACAAAAAAATCTTGAAAACATATCCTGTTGTTCCACCATAATAAATGAAGTTTCCAAGAAAAGTGCCGTTGTTCATTATGCTACATTGTCGATGCCCGTTAATTTTAGGGTATGTTTAAATTATCAAAGCACGTTAGTTTTACTTAATAACGAATTTATTACGTTATTTTCCTTCACCAACTTCAAAACACTGTTAAATTTGTTTCAAGAAAACTCATGCGCTTCCAGAGCACAGTTCTAGTAATTATTAAATATAAACGAAAATTAATACACATTAGTTTACTCCATGGAAATGTTAAAGGGCAAATTTCCAATTTTCTTGCAAATAGTTTATTTCATTGTGGAACAACAAGAGGCCATGTTATAATTTAATGGTCTTAAATTGTGAGTTTTTCAAATTTGGCAAAAAAGTATCACTAAAAAAATTTGAGAACCTGTCATAGTTAGTTCGCCATTAAAGATTTTACATCAAATTTGGTCTAAAGAACATTAGTAATAAGTGTGCTAAATTCAAAGTTTAACGGCAAACTAAGAGAATAGTTATTAAGAAAAATTTATTAAAACATTTTTTTTATAACTCCGTTATTTTTGGGTTTTCCAAAAAATACTATATTAATTTCTTGAGTAGAAATGTCCAAATCGGGATATCTGGACACCCTATATAAAATGTTCGAAATCAAATGAAAAGAACAAAAAACACAAGGAAATACTGACTTTGACCAAGCATAAAAAAATTGCACATTAAGTCTGTATTAAACCATATCAGCCTCTTATCCACACAGCAATTATGTTTTTATAAGTTTCTTAAATACATAATAGATAGCTAGATAGTTTTTTATTAGATTATTCTGTGCGACACATAGAAAACATATATTTGTGTAATGTAACAATCCTTTAAAATAGACATTTTAAATTAATTTAAAGAAACACAAAATTCAAACATTCAACAAACAAACAAATAAAACAATAGAAAACTGAACCAAAACCAGATAAAATTAACTGAATTTGTAATAAGCTTGCTCTATAAGAAAAAAAAAGTGAATTCTTTAAACCAAGCAAAAATCACAGGAAGGCGACACACTCTGTTAGTTGACAAACTATCTGAGTTTTAGCTACATGTAAGAGTTATTAGCATGTCATTCCTGTGCCCCATATTGAGTCTCCTAATCCTTTATTTTGACACTCAACTACACAGCAAAATAAATCTGACAATTATGATTTAGTTATATGCAGCCCCACTGAACTGATACCTTTCAACCTTATTACAAAGTTCATATTTAAAATATACCTTTTGGTCCGTAAATCTTGTGACCGCTTATAGACATTAGATCAATCTTCATAGACTGGACATCTAAAGGTATTTTGCCCACCGCTTGAGCAGCATCGGTGTGGAAAAATACCTTCTTCTCCCTACAGATGTTACCAATGTCTGCAATTGGTTGTTTGACACCAATTTCATTATTGACAGTCATTATGGAAACTAACGAAGTGTCTGAAGTGATAGCCTTTTCCAAATCTTCAAGGCATATTATTCCATTGCTTTGAACTGGCAAGTATGTGACTTTAAAGCCTTCCATTTCCAAGGCTCTGCATGAGTCTAGAACACATTTATGCTCCTACAACATAAAGTAATATATACTTTGCACTGAACATAACAAATTTATCTTAACTGTTTGAGTTGTTATTAGGTGCTTTTTTTTGGAACTGTAAAACCTGGCAACTCCTTTTATGGCAACATTATTTGATTCTGTAGCTCCAGATGTGAAAATAATCTCTTTTGGATCTGCACCTATAATGTTTGCTACTTGCTCTCTAGCTGTTTCTACTGCAGCTTCTGATTCCCAACCATAGGCATGGGTACGAGAGTGAGGGTTTCCATAATATGATGTAAGGTAAGGGAGCATTGCATCTAATACTCTTGGATCCTAAAATATATTTCTATACAACCGAAAAAATTCTAAAACAAACTTACTAAAGGAGTTGTAGCCTGGGCGTCTAAGTACAACGGCCTTCCATGGAATACATTATCGACTTTAAATTTGTTCTCAAACTCGAAAACGTCCGCAAATAACATATTCCTAGATGTAGAAAAGAAGGCTCGAAATTCGGTTAACGTGCTAGATAGCAGAAGTTTGGAATTATGGTTTGTTATATAGCGATGCATATTAATAATATATTATGAACGTCTTTCTTGTAATAAAAATATTTTTCCAAATTATTTTGTTATTCTATTCTAACCTAAAACGCGTCCATGAATTCAATTCAAATTCAATTCAATTATGCGTTTTACAGAAAACTGTTTTCAATGATGCGTTTCACTAATACAGTTGGGACGTCTGCTATGATCATTCGCCCATTGTCAACTTCCGGTCCATGAATTGACCGTGCTTCTTCTTTTATCTTTCCAAATGGCCCTAGCCAGGTTTTGTTATTGGTATTCGCTTACTAAATAAATGACTGTGAGTTCCATTTAGAGAATCAGTGGCGACTTATATCAAAATTATTTTCAAATAGTATTTTGAATATTTTCTTCTTATTCTTCTTTTTGGGGTTGGCGCTGCTTGTAGGCAATTTGCATGCACAAAACTGGAAGCGAATTGATTTATTTTCGAATTTTGTAAGTTGTGTGTAGGTTTTTTAATTTTTAATAAATATATAATTTAAAAATAAATAATTTAAAATTCTTTAATATTGGTCAAGGAACATTCTTAGAATGAGAAAATAATTGTTGAAACATAAATTGATTATATCTGTGAAATCTGTGATGAGATGACAAATTTTCCGACGGATGTAGGTAATAAGCGAATGTACAGCGTAGAATCCACATAAAAAGTGTTGAAGAAGATTATTCTCTGCTAGTTTCTGGGAGGTATCACTGGCAAAGCGCAAAACCCATATTTGTTTGGTTATCGTTGCCGTTATGGATGCAAAAAAACCATTATTCAGAGATTTGGCAGGAGACGATCCCGATCCCGAAGTTACGGAAGTCGAATCTATGTGCGTTAGTTGTGGAGGAAACGGAAAAACACGGCTACTGTTAACCAAAATTCCATTTTACAAAGATGTTATACTCATGTCTTTCATTTGCGACGAGTGCGGCTATCAAAATAATGAATTACAATCTGGCGCCGTAATTTCGGAACGAGGAGTGAGAATCACGCTTTCCGTCGTAGACGTTAAAGATTTAAACAGGCAATTAGTCAAAAGTGATTATACAAGCTTGAAAATACCGGAATTGGATTTTGAGATACCTCTGAAGAGTCAAACGGGTGAAGTTACAACGGTCGAAGGTATACTTGACCGTTGCATAACGGGATTACAGCAGGACCAACCTGCGAGAGTGATTGAACACCCGGAAGTAGCCAGACAAATTGATAGTTTTGTCGACCAATTGAGAGAACTGAAAAATGTAAAATCGCCATTTACATTAGTTTTGGAAGATATATCCGGCAACAGTTTCATAGAAAATCCCAGAGCTCCCGACGAAGATCCTCAATGTGTGACTAAATATTTCAAAAGAACCAAAGAGCAGGATCACGAACTGGGCATTTTTACGCCAAAAGAGGTTTCTGATGAGACAGAAGTGGAAGAAACATCAGTGTTACATCCAGTTGGTGATGGTGATTTTACTTTAGAAGACATTGAGGGTGAAGTAATGCAGTTTTCTACAAACTGTCCGAGCTGTGGGTCTCCGACCAAAACGAATATGAAAGCTACCAACATTCCCCATTTTAAAGAAATAATCATTATGGCCATGACTTGCGAGGTATGCGGATACAAAACAAACGAAGTAAAATCAGGAACGGGCATTGAGCCAAAAGGGGTTCGCATCGAAGTTGAAGTCAAGACAAAAGAGGACTTTTCCAGAGACGTTCTAAAATCGGAAACGTGCGATTTGAAAATACCAGAGTTGGACTTGAAAGTTGGACCTTATGCACTCGCGGGGCGATTCACCACTATAGAAGGGCTAATTATCGCGGTTAAGGAACAGCTGAGCGATCCCAATTATTCCCATATATTCGGTGATTCTGAAGATACATTAACAAAGGAAAAATTCCAACACTTTTTGAAGAAATTCGATGCCATTCTCGAGAACAAAATTCCCGTAACGATATCCCTAGACGATCCCGCGGGGAATAGTTACATTCAAAGCATGGCGGACGGCAACGAACTAGACAAAAGGTTGCGAATAACGCATTATGAGAGAAACTTCGAACAAAACGAGGAATTGGGACTTAACGATATGAAAACGGAAAATTATGAAATAGGTGATAAATAATAAATGAATTTACTGTGTGGAAGGTATTTTTGTTTTGGTTATCGAGGAGTCAACCGCTGTACCCAATACTTTCAACCGTGCAAATGGATCGCATGCGAAATCACTCCCAATCTGGGGAATCTCGCGAAATCTCAAAGGAAATTAGGGGGATGGGACGTCATCATTGTGTTAACCAATAAAAATGCAGGACCAATATGTGTCAATAATTTGAACACTTTATATCTATCATAAATATACAGTGAAGAATATTTATTGCCTTTAAGATTCGGAATGAAAAATTTTTTGACTAAAACGGCCAAGAGAAAATGCTAAAGTATCTAGAATGTGGCCATAATCGCATTTTTGTAGTTGGAGATGTCCGAACATTTTCGGAAACTAATGTCAATAACTTAAGAATGACTGAACGCATTTTATCAAACTTCGAGTTATGAAAAGGGGCTCTTCTTAGGCTACCAACCCTTGCCCTAAACGATTTGATTTAGATTGCTTGTATAATGGTTGGTATTAACTATACGATACATCTATATTGTACATAATATGTATAGCAACGCTGTGCATAGAGCGGCAAGGAGAGTGTGTGTGTTCTGTGACTAGAGAACAGTGAGCAGTACCATGAAAATATAAGATGTTTGTGCAACAAGTTCTGTATTTTCCTTTTGTGTATGTGTACTGATATATAGCATATTAAGAAAACAGTCTTTAAAAATAATTTCATTTTCACCTGGTCGCTTTAGCGGGAAAATTTTCTGACAATTACTTTGTGAATTGGATTTGATTGCACTTTTACTTCGTAATTGTCCATAAAAGGGTTTATAAATATTTATAAAATTTCTTTTTACATGCCGATTCGTTTTGAGATTTCGGTGTGTTTAATTTCGTTGAACATTTTTGACTCAAATTAAAAGGAAAAAATGACAAAATGTAATTTGGCAGAAAAAAAATTATGAATGGTACAGAGCACTTCAAATCAAAAATATCTTGAGAACCATTAAAGATTACTTTTTTTAAAAGAAATTTAACGTCTAAATGCCTTTTTGTTGTGCAAATTTTTAAATTTGAAATTTTTATTTTTTTAGGTTATTCATTGCCTTTTGATAACAATTATATAGTAAACTTTTCTTTCTTTCCAGAAGTAGGATCAACTGCCTTGTTTTTAATGAAACACCCTGTATATTTTCCCATTTTTTTCCTATTCCTATTTTTGTATTCCAACTTCGAAATATTCTTTATCTTTTTTTCGATAGCTTTAGTAGTTTTGGAAATAGATTAGACTAGTGGTATAGTGAACTACTCTAAATAGTGAACAATATTTTATTAATGTATTCTATGGAGGGAACGATGTGGCGCTCGAAATAATGAACCTAAAAGAATTTGTCAGTCAACAAACACAGTAATACAGGAAAAGGATTTTAAACGTTTTGTTTTCTTTTATGTAATTGGATCACAGCAGTGTCTTGCGGATTGTGATCGGTCAGGTCGATTCGCGAGTGAAGTAACGGGGTTTGTGAAAATTGACTGTCCACTGTATGGCATAATTTATGCGGGGGGCAAAAGGATAAAGAAATTTTTAATATAGATGAAACGGGATTATAATGTCGAATGTTGTCAAATAAAACCATGACGTTTCAGGGTGAAAAATACGTAGGCGGAAAAATTTCTAAGGGACAGGCTAACTGTTTTTGGTGGAGCTAATATGACTGGTAAAATAAAACTTGTGGTTATTTTGAAGGCCCCCACGCTGCTTTAAAAATATAAAAACCCCGCCAATTGATTACGAAAATAATGCAAAAGCAAACTGTTTAGTTCTAGTTTTTACAGCCGAATGCAACTTTGGTGCTACAGCCAATGGATCAGGGAGTAATCAAGGCTTTAAAAACTGACAGCTAACAAAAGTCCTAGAAAAATATTACTTCTAATCACCTTTACAAAATAAACATTTTGGAGGCCATTTTTTTTTAATCACAAGCTTGGGATCACGTTTCCCAACAGACAATTTCAAGATGTTTTATGGATTTATCGCCCTGCCGGACGATCACGCAAGTTCTTCCACTTTCAGAGTGGACTAACCTTCAAAGCAAAAATGACCCCCCTGAAGATGAAAACTTACCTCTAGCAGACTGGATCCGTGACTTACCTACGATTTTGTAATCCAAGAAAACTGGGAAAATTTTGTAGATGTTGATGAGGTTCTGACAATCACGAATGAATTATACGGCCCAAAAATTTTGGAACGTTCAAGAGAGGGTGAAAAAAGTTATGAAGAGGAAGAGGAACTGGTTACCGACGAATATCAACCATCAGCTATAACGGAATTAAAACTGTCAGTCATTTGTTTGTTTAGTGATAGGCAAGATATTGTAAATCCGAATTTAGTGCACCTAGAAAATATGATTAGTTTAGTTTTTAGTTTATTCATTTTTTTGTTGAGTTGTTTGTATGCAGTTTTTAGTTTTTTTTTGTTGAGTTGTTTGTATACAGTTTTTAGTTTATTCATTTTTTTTGTTGAGTTGTTTGTATGCAAATGTCATTAAGTATGTACATATATAATACATATGTAACATACATACATAACATACGTATATATACGCCTATATAATATGTGTACATCTGAAAATATCCCATGTTTTATAATTTTATTTTAATTAAAAGTTAAAGAGATATAATCACTTTTTCATAATAAATATACATAACGCATTTTGTTACTCATAACGATGCTCTGTTATAACTACCGAAATTAAGCGGTCCGTTCAGTGTCGTTATAACCGATATACACTGTATCAGGAAAAATGAAAACCTAAGACATTGAGAGTGTCCATGAATGGAAAAGGCTCTGTATAAGTGGTTCCTAAGACAAAGAGAGAAGAATCTTCCAGTCACCGGTTTAATGATCCAAGAGAATGAATACAAAGAATCCTGTTCGTTCCATGCAAGCAGCGGCTGGTTGCAAAAATATAAAAGGCGCTTTGGAATACGTTTTCTTAAAGATTTCAGGCGGAAATTTTAATCACAGCCTGAGCTTGTTGATCCTTTCAAAAAAAATCTAAAAGAAATAATTTAAGATCTTCAACTGTTGAAACATCAGATTTAAAACGCCAACGAAACTGGCTTATATTGAAAGCTTTTTTATGTAGCTTGCGAGGAGAAAACAGCTTCAGGAAGAGAAGCCGAAAAACAAAGATTGACATTTCTAACATGACTGGAAAATCCAAAAATCCTAGTTAATTCTAGAAAATCCAAATTTACTTAAAAGAATAGTTTCATAAGATATTTCCAAAGGTAAGTTTACCATGGGAGAATATTTTACTTTTACGAACAAAAATGACATATTTCATCTGTGTAAAAAGTTTGCCACAACTTTTTCTATTTCTTGCTGTTCATGCTTGTGATTTAGGGTTTTGTTGCAACTAATTTCAGGTGACAAAGTTCCTATATAGTCAAAATCTGCAAGTTATCAACAATACAACGCATCAATTCATCCACCCCCTGAAAAGTTAAAAAGTGATCCTTTTTTGATTCTTTATATGTTATCTAAATTTACTCGATTGATACAACCGATGAACTAAAATGCGATTCGTTAAACAAAACTTTGTTGTCGAAGGTTATCGTTACTGGTCAGTTTTGAGTTTGGTGCTGGCATGGAAAAACTTATAGCCTCAAGTTATAATCATTAGCCAATCAAGATGAACATGAAGAAGAAATTCCTTTAAGTGTTCTAATAAGTCGAATAGAAAATGAGGAAATCGCTATAGTACGCTACGATAAAGAAGATGAAAATGGCCAAGATCAAGGACGAGAAGAAGTTCAACTAATAAGAAAATGTGTGACAACTGAATCTGCGATCAATTGAATTTTATTCATCGGACTGAAGAAAATGAAGTGGAATCCCCCAGTCTACTCATTTTACAAAACTTTTTTTCTATTATACCATGAGTCTTTACTTAGACGGCGCAGGTTTTTCCATATATCAACGAGTAAATTAGGCAATTTTTGCCAGTCGTTAAAATTGGACAAATACAAATACACCCAAGGCTCCCGGTGGGAATCGAACCCAGAACCTCCGGCAAGTTCGAGTTGCAGTAGTTTAAAATACATTCTACAGTCGAGTTAGCAGTACTTTTCTTGGTTGGATCATCATTTAAAAAACGAAAATCATCCAGAACCTGACAATGTTGAACACAATTTTATTGTAAGTGAAGTGGACGAAATAAATACTTTACCTGCTGTACCAGTGAAGCAAACAGTGTGTTTGCGCGAATAATAGGAATAAGTCATGAAAGTGCAAGAAAAATATTGTTACATACCAAATACACCATGTATGAAGGTGACTTTCGTAGGAGGATGGAACTGGTACATTGAGAAACTGGCCGATATGCCTAATTTCAAAATTTCAACACTTTTTTCCAATGAATTTCGCGTGACGAATCTTGGCAAGCTTAATAAAAATAATTCATGGTATTGGTCTAGGAACCAATTTATATTTAATGAGAGAAGGGGGCGTTCCGAGACAGATTTGGAGTAAATGGGGTTTTAGGCGATCGATTTATTTTATCATTTTTTTTTCGAGAGCCATTAAACTCTCAAAGGTTATTTATTATTTTGTCGAACATTTATTTCTTGATAGAATACGTAATTTTTCAAAGAAACTTCCACGGGCTAAACTGATACTGCTTGTGAAGAAGCCAACAGGATGATTGGCCAAACGTCAGCAATTTTGATTTATAAACAACCACCGCAGAAGGGATCCAGAGATTTGTAAATAGTAGAATACGCAACCAGATGACGCTCCTGCTCATAATTTCAAGATATTATCTTTAGATGAAAACCTAGACGAAAACTGGGGACTGATCCAGGATCATATTAAAGAAAAGGTGTATAAAACAATGAAACCATAAGCGCATATTAAAATTTTAGAGTTATCAATAGTATATTATGCAACAAGTGCGGTAAACGGCATTCGACTCACGAGTTTGACACGAGCGGAGCGAGTTTTTAATGAATCAGTGAGTTAAAAAGTTTACCGAACATGGTGCATACTATACTTTTTCTACGATCGTTGGTGTTTGAGAACATTTTCGCAAAACAACACAAATACATTCACTGACATGACCGTCAGAACTGACAAACGTCAAAATTCAAAGCACGGGAAATATCTCCGAAAACATCCGATCGCTCCCCCCCCCCCCCCCCGCCCTAAATACCAATACCAATACCCCCTGCGGTAAAATCCCGGAAATGTCCGAAACGGCTCGGATTCGTAGAAAACGAAACTGACGTGTAAAAAGACGCTTCCCGCACACTAGATCGGTGTGTAATTAGGTATTCTATAGACGGTTAGTTTCCGCAATGTCGCTTCCTGGCAATACCGGATGTGCTGTTAGATTGTTTCATATGTCAAATTTCAAATTTATTCATTTTTTTTTACAGAGTTTTCGCTTGGCTAGTAACTACAAATCACACAATTAAAATAAAAAATATTTCTAAAATGAAAGAAACTTTTCCATTATTTTGATCCATTAGCATAAACAAATATACCAATGTTTGTGAATAACATAAGAAGTTTAATTTCTGAATCTTAGTGACTGTGAAATTGTGATAGCGAAATGAAAATGTTGAAATCACTGTCACACGGCCCCAATTCATACCATAGCGGTTAAACCCTCGCATCTAGGACAGATCATTAAAAAAACTATCTGCCGTTTTCACTTTCGATGAAGGTAAATGCTTAACGAGGTCTTGTTTCGTCTCGTGTTTCTTGTGCTTGTGACTGACCCTCTCAAAATCTTCGAAATATTGTATATTCCAAAATTTTATATCGTTATCATGACTACTAGACGCTATGAACATCCCGTTATTACATATATCGACGTTCTCAATCGACATGTCGTGCTGCCCCACGACACCTAAATGTCTATGCGGAAAAAGGTGGGTTGCTCGTAAAATTCCATCTTCGCACGCCGTAACTACGATATTTTCCGTGATCGGAATTAAGCCGTTTATCGCATGTTTGGGGCCGGGAAAAGCATCGCTATGCAACCCAAATTCGTTCCAGTTGTAAAGGTACAACTTGCCTTTTGAAGAACCCGCCAACAATTTTGTTCCATTCCTGAATAATCCGAGACAAGTGAGTTCCTCTTCGTATTCTTCTGAAAGCATGTGCACTTTTCTAGAAAAATATGTGAATTTTTGTATTTATTACGAAATGCATTAGAGGTTTACCTATTTTCCAGATCAATAGTTGTTAAAGATCCATCTCCACTCGAACATAGCAAGAATTTATGTGCTGCGTCCGCTACTATATCACTGATATAGTCTTCATTTTTTTTTGTTGAAAATATTGGTTTATCTGACTTTTGCCTCAAATCCCAGATTTTGACTTCTCCATCATCATCTCCTATAATTTCAATACAGTGATGCATGATGAAAAATTTAATGAGAAATTTGAGAAACTAAACAAGAATATCCAACTAAACAATTTGAATTTTCCTTTTTGTTTATAAAGCCAAAAATGATGATATAATGGGAAACAGATTTTTTTCATTTATTTTCGAAATACACCTTAGATTTTCAAATTTTCTAATGGACGTCATAATTAATTTATTCATTAATAGATAGAACATAAAAAATGATTTTTTTTGGGTCATAAAAGCAAAATTAAATTTTTGTTTAAAGTAGGCCACGATCTGAAATTTGGAAAAACAAAAGTTTTGACAGTTTGTCGATCGCATACACTGGACTAGTTTTAAATTTATTTTTTATTTAAAATTGAAAAGTCAATAAATTAAAACATTTTATGCAAAATATTTTTACTCACGGATGGATTTCACGGTTATTGAAAAATCAACGTATTATTTAAGAAAAGCACGCAAAATAGATATTAAGTAGCAATATTTTCTAAAGGAGTATATATATATATATATATATATATATATATATATATATATATATATATATACACTTAAGCAATTTTCGCGATTGTCAATTTTGAAATTATACGGCGTAGTTTTTTTTTTATTCGAGAGAAAATTAGTTATCTCAATCAAAATGATGCTGTGCGAGACGCAATCTGAAAAATGGAGTGCATTGCAAAAAATGGGATATATATAAAACCAAATCTGTAAAATGCCAATCTTTAAAATGGGTATTGCATGGTATTTGAATTTGATAACACTTATTAATTTTCTGCATTATTTTTCGTTTAAATCTTTCTAGATGTAAAATAAAAGGTTTCCTTGAATTATTCATAATAAGAGTATTTGTTTAAGTTTACGACATTGTTATATCTGTTGGTCTTAGATAAACATTTTTAGTTTAGTTTTTATCAAGAATGCAATACTCAGTTCTGTTACATTATTTTTAAATAGAATGAGTATTAAACCTGGGTATATATATATATATATATATATATATATATATATATATATATATATATATATATATATATATATATATATATATATATATATATATATATATATATATATATATATATATAGTGTTCCATTTAATAATCCAAAAGGGAGTAATCTAAAAATTCCCTTAAATATAAAGAACTTTTATGTTTAAAATTTCTTGACAACTGTTATAGGTTGTGACAAAAGTGTAGGTGAGATTAAAAATTAAAATTGGGATGAGTTGGGAACCTTGCAGGCTAGAAAACCACTGAATATGTAGCTATCCATTTGCCAGGAACTCTATGTGACAGGTATTCTCCAACTATTCTCAAATTATGACCAGGGGCCCCATCTTGTCGCAATCAAATATTTTTGACTTCCCCTAATGAATTTTGAATTGATTGATTAAATTCATCACCATTTGACTGTAATCTTTCAGGGTAGGTATTTAAATACATCTGTTCGGCATCTCGAGTATTACTATGACACAAATTGTAAACTTTAACAAATCGAGTTATTCTCAAATTAAAAAATACCTTTAAAAGTTATCCTGTCAATCAAGACAATTTAATTAATGAATGAAAAAATTTTTATGCTCTATCTAATAATATCTACATTTAAAACAAGTGAAAAAGTTATGTTTCAGTTAAGCTCTAAAGAAGCCAACAGTGTGATAGTTTATTTGCAGAATATTATTAAAACATTTAAAAATCACAAACCTGTTGCAAACATATTTTCGTCTACCACGCGAAGACAATATAGAGCCACTTCATGGGAATTATCATAAAACCGTATAAGACCTCCTGTCTGCACGTCGGTTAACATTATTGACCTATCTTTTGATGTGGAAAAAAGAGTTTTTCCATCATGACTAAATTCGACATCTCTACATGCTTTTGTATGTAGTTCCAAGGTTTGCAAAACAGAATTTTCTTCGTTCGAATATTTATAGAGGATGACGTCCCCGACGATGGAGCCGACGGCCAACATATTTTCGAACGGGTGGAAAGAAAAATCCATAACAAAATCCTCACAATGAATAACAGGAGGATGATCGCGTTTCTTATCGCGTTCTTTTTTTATTGCCTTTATAACTTCGTCTTCATCTTCTACTGCGTCATCTAAGATTTCGCTTTCTTCGTGGCTCCCTACGAGCTCCTCGACACTTGCATCGGAATCAGAAACATTGGAATCGCTACTGCTAGTGCCTGAATACATATTAACATCCACAAAATAACCAATAGTTCTTTTGCACATGGGATATTTCAGAACCAAAAACACAAATAAAATTGACAGGATAGGATCAATTTAATAAATAATGGCAATATATAGTCGATTTTTCGCAAGGTTAGGTGCTTTTAGACCACAGAATACCAAGGTTAGTTTTGGTTAGTTTAAGAAGTTCAAAAAAGTCATTACCAATTATACAAAGGATTGTGATGGTATTTGTTCTGACGGTGAAAGCGAAAAGTGGCGTTACATATCCTCTCGAAATATGTTTCTTGCTTTATTTGTAGTTTTTAATGCAGTAAGTTTGGCTTGCAAGGTAATTTTCTATTACAGAATAATATAATTTCCACATTTTTGGAGTGGTAGGCACAGTACGAAATCTGTAAAGACCAAAATCGTGTGACTTCCGCGGAGTTTGCTAATCGGCACATTAACCTTCGAGTATACCATCTTGTTTGAGATATTACATTAACTAAATGTAAGACATACTACGGTCTCTCAATACAATGATTTAAATTTGCCTTCCAAGAATCGTTCCTTTTTTAAATTTTTAGTTTTGACCCGCGGAAGCCTAAAACAAAATATTTGTAACCTCTACGGGGAGAAGTACCTATCATCAAGCTACGATCAAGAAGAGGCAAAGTTTTGTGCACTTTAACTGTATGAAACTGAATTTCCACAAGAACAACAACCAAGTTAAGAATATTCTAAGAAGAGCGAGCCTAGCATTAACAAGGGAAGCCATCCATGACAGTAGACGGAAACTGGATATGATTAACAAGGAGCTTTACTCTTTACATCTAGATTTATCCAACCAACTCAATCCTTTATTGTGGAATATCCTGGATGAAATATCAGGATACTGGGAAGAAACAGACATTGAACTAACAAGAATCAAACAAAAGAAAGTTCGAATAGCTGAAAGAAACACAGAAAACTACGAAGAATAAAATTAACCAAGAAGAACCGCCGAAGAGAGTAGTGTATAATCTTTCCAAATACCAAATCGATGAAGCGACAGAAAGTGTACTTGCCAAAGGTTTCAACTATGCTATAGCCCCCACAAAGATCCCGGTAGAAACCATCATCTGTGGAGTGAAAACCTCGATAAAAGATCTGGAAGAAAATACTGCTGAAGTTATCAGACAAGAAGTTTCTCAAATACTACGAACAGCCAAAGCACCGAAGAAGAATCTGTCAAAGGAAGAGTCCAATGCACTACGGGAACTACAGAAAAACAAAAATATAATAATACTACCAGCAGACAAAGGCAACGCAACAGTAGTCATGGATATAGAAGAATATGACCAAAAAATCCGTATACTATTAGACAATCCAGCTTACGCACAAATATTCACCGATTCAACTATTTGGAAAAAACAACGAAGGCCAAAATCAATTCTTCAAAAATCAGCAAGGACCAACAGATACATCTCATCCCAAGAGAAAAATCATCACAATGTCCAAAACTTTATGGTTTGCCAAAAGTCCATAAGCCAGGAGCACCACTAAGACCAATAGTCAGCTCAATAGGGTCACCGTTACAGCAATTAGCGAGGTTTTTAGCGAAGCAACTACAACCATACGCAGAGGAAGCGGAATCTTATGTCAAGAACGCGAGCCACTTCATCGAACGTATACAAAAGGTAGATGTTAGACCCGGAGACCTTCTAGTTAGTTTCGACGTCGTTTCCTTATTTACCAACATACCAGCGGACGAAGCATTGGGCATCATCCAAAGGAAATACAATGTACCAATAGATACCATGGACTTAACCAGACACTGCCTAAAAAACACATATTTCATCTACAATGACCAAAGGTACAAACAAATAGAAGGAGCACCGATGGGATCACCTTTATCCCCTGTAATAGCCAATCTCTTTATGACGGCTCTGGAAAAACGAGCAATAGAGACAGCGGACTACAAACCAAAAATATGGCTACGAGATGTAGACGACACTTTCATCATCTGGAACCACGGGATAGAACAATTACACAGATTCCTGCAACACCTAAACGAGGTTCATCCGAAGATCAAATTTACAATGGAAATTGAAGAAAACAGCCAACTGCCGTTCCTGGACGTTACTATAATAAAAAAGGAAACTGGACACCTAGGCCACACAGTATACAGGAAGCCGACTCACACGAATCGTTACCTGAACGCCAATTCACATCACCACCCGGCACAATTACAATCAGTGATCAAAACATTGATCACAAGATCAGAAACACTGGCAGACGAGGACCACGAAGAGGAAGAAACAAAAGCTATACAGGCGGTCTTGAGACAGAATGGCTTCTCCGAGCACAATATAAAGAAAGTACCAGGTCAGTGCGAAGCATGCAGAGAAGTTCAGAGGAAAGCTGAAAAAAGGAGAATGCTCCGAAAGGATGAGACCTATGAGATCTTCCAGAATATCCGGGAGGAGGACTGGATTAATGAAGTTTTCCCAAGTTGGTCTTGCCCTGCTACAAAGACATAGTAGGAGCGAACGGTCCAGTCAAGGATGCGATAAATTACTATGGGGGCATAGAAAGGCTCAGAAAGCAGGGAAAAATGCAGGTGAAGTCGCATCTATGAGGCATACCTTGGAGTATCCCGATGAGAAAGGAAACTTTACAAGCATAAAAAGGGCCAAACTTTATCCTATAATAGGGAACAAAGACCAGAACGAAAATTTAGATAGCAACGTGTTTCTCTCTCTCAAAACAATTAAAACGACAGCTTTAAGTAGAGGTAAAACTAAATTAGCAATTCCCTCATTGGATGGAGTATTGGGGATTATCTTCAACAGGATGGCAGACTTCCTATTTTCAGACTCAGGTCTTGACGTAGTGGCCTACGAACCCATTGGTAATTGGGCACCAAAGACACAAAAATATGCTCAGACTTAAACAAAAATGAGTAATCGAAACACTCTCGCCGTATCGAGGAAGCCTAAGGACGACGCCTTACTTATCAAGAAGGAAGGCGTTTCCTACGCAGATCTTTTAAGAACGGTTAAACAGGTCATAAACCCCAGAGAAATCGGGGTGGATGTTAAGGACGTTCAAAAAACTAGAAACGGTGATCTCATTATAAAGGTTCGAAACGGATCCGACAAGGCCGAGACGCTAAAAAACGAAATAAAGGCAAAATTATCAGATATCACCGCCTCAACTCTCACATCAAGGAAGGTGCTTCATACTAGGGGTATGGACGAACTCACAACAGTGGAGGAGATAAGGGAGGCTATATCGAAGGCAGTAAGTACTAGTCAGAGCAAACTGGAGATAAGAGCCCTACGTCCAACTTACAGAAACAAACAAAATGTAACCATTGTTACTAGCGAAGCAGAGGCAGACAGACTCCTAGAGCTAAAATCATTGAGGATTGGCTGGGTGAACTGCAGCATTGTTGAACGACAGAGGGAGGAAAAATGTTTTAGAAGCTGGGAGCATGGCCATATAAAGAGGGACTGCACTGGACCTGATAGGGAACAGCTCTGCATGCGATGTGGAGAGAGGGGGAAACAAAGCAGGAGTTTGTAGTAAGGCGCCCTTCTGTCTTCGATGCAAGCAGCAAGAGCATCAAACTGGCAGTCGAGCTTGTACAGAGACCAACAGGTGCAAAATAAACGAGCATAATGAAAATACTACAACTAAACACAAATAGAAGCCTAGGAGCACATGACATGGCTATTGCAATAGGCAAAGAGGAGAAACCCTTTATATTGTTAATTAGTGAACCTAACAAGAACACCATAAAAGGACGGAATGACGAGCATATGGATACAGCAATCAAAATAATGGACTCAGATGTAACAGTTAAACAGCAAGGATACGGCTATGGATTAAAGGAAATAAGGAATTAAACGACCTTGAGAGAACACTAACTGAGATAGGAGCACTCATCAGAGTTCATCAAAACCCTTGTATCATAGCGGGAGATTTTAACGCAAAATCGCCCCAATGGGGTATGTCGATCACAGATAGGAGAGGAGACCTAATGGGAGAATGGATTGCTGAAAACAACCTAATTTGTCACAACCAGGGGAGCAAACCAACATTTCAAAGGAACCAAAGTGCATCAATCCTCGACCTAACGCTGCCAACCGAGAATGTCCAAATTACAGACTGGCTCGTAAGTGATAAAGAAAGCTTAAGCGATCATAATTACATCCTCTATAATATACAAGAGGAGATAAGTAAATGTAAAAGTAAAAGAAATTAGATCAGATCACGGAGAGTACTACCGATGAGGAACCGGTTGCGAACCCAAAATCTTTTCATAACATGTTAGTCAAGATATGTAATAAGACAATGCATGCGAAACAACGACACCCAACGAGAAATCCCGTATACTGGTGGTGTGATGAAATTGCGGATCTTAGGAGGGAGTGTACTAGGAACAGAAGGCTTCTCACAAGAAACAACAAGCGAAACCAAGCAGAAGTAAGTCAGCAGCTGCGGGACGAATACAAACACTCCAAGAAAAAACTAAGGAACGCCATCCTAGAAGCTAAACGAGTCCGGTGGAGGGACATCTGTGATAACATCAATACGGATCTCTGGGGCTATAAAATAGTTATGAAGAGAACCATTTAATATTCTCCAAAACCTAAACTCTCAGACTATACCCTAAACAAGGTGATAGATCACCTGTTCCCAGTGCATGAGGCAGTCAGGTTCAAAATCGACAAACCCACGCAACCGGTGGAATTTAGCGAAGAAGAATTGATCCAGGCAAGCCAGAAATTAAAAAATAACAAGGCACCAGGACCAGGCAGAATCCCAGCAGAGATACTTAAATATCTGACTTCCAGAAAGACTAGTTATGTTCTAAAAGTCTATAACCGCCTTGCTTGTATGGGGTACTTTCCAGAAGAATGGAAGCAAGCCCAGTTAATTTTATTAGATAAAGGAAAAAACTTGCCTGAAGACCCCTCCTCATGTCGACCAATCTGCCCACTAGATGCAGAGGGTAAATTATACGAACATCTAATACTCGCTAGGCGAAAAACAGAATTAGAGCATACTGGTGGTTTGGCGGAAAGGCAATTTGGGTTTAGAGAAAAAAGGCAGACAGTGGATGCAGTCATGGAAGTCCTAAAGATCTCAAAACATGCATGGGACTATTCATCTCAAAATCAAAGAATATGTGCTGTAATTACTCTGGATGTCAGGAACGCATTTAACAGTGCCTCCTGGCAACTAATTCTTGAGAAGCTTGGGAAGCGCGGAGTGGAGAAAGGTTTGTTGAGGCTGATCTCTTCCTATTTGTGTGACCGTGGTGTGCTCGTCGACTATGAACGCGAGACCAAACTGGTCTCGCGTTCTTCTCTGGAATATCCTGTACGATGACCTACTAAGTATGGATATGCCCAAAGATGTAACGCTGATTGGATTTGCGGATGACTTGGCAATAGTAGTTATTGACAAGCGGGAAGAGCTCGTCATGGGAAAAGCAAATATGGGTATGTTGATGGTGTCAAACTGGATGGAGAAGAATTCTCTTAGTCTGGCGCCGGAAAAAACTGAGGCTGTGCTACTGACTAAAAAGATAAAACTAATACCAGTTAGTTTCAACATTCTCGGAACAAACATATTCCCAAGTCAAGCACTTAAATATCTGGGAGTGTGGTTAGACTGCAAGTTGACTTTCGCTGAGCATGACAGCCGTACACTGGAAAAAGTAGAGAGAACGATATCGGCTCTTTCTCGTCTCATGCCGAAGATAGGAGGACCGAGAGAATCTAAAAGAAGAGCACTGTCAAGCGTAGTGCAGTGGCAGTTACTCTACGCGTCTCGGGTGTGGCACCAGGCTACAAAAAGCAAAACCCTAAATAGAAAACTAAACAAAATACAAAGGCTTGTGTCAATCAGGATAGTCAGCGCGTAGAGGACTATTTCTGCCGAGTTGGTGGGAGTGATGGCTGATGTTCCACCCATCGACCTCTTAATCAGAGAGCGGACAAGCATCTACGACGGCCAGGAAAAAGTTCTTGCACGACAAACTTTGATACTAGCTTGGCAGGAGCGCTGGAGAGCCAGCAGGAATGGACGCTGGACGTATAAAATTATCAGTGACATTAATAAATGGATAAATAGACCCTATGGCGAAACTGATTACTATCTAACCCAGGCACTTTCGGGACATGGCTGTTTCAACTCGTTCCTTTATAAGAGAAATAGATCGAGTACGGAACTCTGTATGTACTGTGGACAGCTGGATGATGTGGAACACACGTTATTTCTTTGCTCTAACTGGAATAGCGCACGAGAACGGTACCGGGAAGAGCCAGGTCTCCAATTTACCTGCGAAAATTTTGCCACAGACCTGATGAGTGGAGAAGTTGCCTGGAAGAGATCCTACCCTGTCATTAGGAAAATAATTGCTACCAAGGAACAGGACATAAAGGGGATAGGCTGACAAAGTTTAAAATTATGCCGGCTGCCACGCTGAAGTAATGCGAAAGCGGTTCCAGCGTGGAGCGGAAAACGGCAAAAAAACGGGGGGTTTTTGTAAAAATCCGACACAGCCTACGACCATCTAACACCGGGAGCCTTTTGGAAGATTTTCCCCTCGAGAAAAAAAAAAAAAAAAAAAAAAAAATATATATATATATATATATATATATATATATATATATATATATATATATATATATATATATATATATATATATATATATATATATATATATATATATATATATATATATATATATATATATATATATATATATATATATATATATATATATATATATATATATATATATATATATATATATTCTCACGTATTGATTCACGGATGGAAAAATGTGATGACACTATACTCCGGGATATCATCCGTTCGCTCGTTGAACTCCGACTGGAATCCTGCAAATCCTGCATCCGACTGGAATCCTGCAGACGTTTCGCCAAAATCTCACTTGGCATCTTCAATGCTCGCGCTCCGAAAACACTTCGAACACACACACAGTGTTCGAAGTGTTTTCGGAGCGCGAGCATTGAAGATGCCAAGTGAGATTTTGGCGAAACGTCTGCAGGATTCCAGTCGGATGCAGGATTTGCAGGATTCCACTCGGATGCAGGATTCCAGTCGGAGTTCAACGAGCGAACGGATGATATCCCGGAGTATAGTGTCATCATATATATATATATATATATATATATATATATATATATATATATATATATATATATATATATATATATAAATATGTATAAGAAGTGTTACTATTGTCTGCATTTTTTTTCTTTTTACATTAGTGGAGGGGATTTAATTAGGCTAGCCCTATTATTCTTCTTAACTAAATTTAAAGAAAAACTAATGCAATGACATAAAAGATGTATTATTTTATTTTACATTATTTCGATTAATATATATCAATATATATCAATAACTGTATCTAGTTCAATGATTGCACCTTTTGAATTATGCTTTATGTTTTATGTGTATATTATGTTGTAAAGTTGTTATTCCATGTTATGCTATGACTGATTGTGTACATTTTCTATGTTCGTAACATGGTAATAAATGAAATGAAATGAAATTTAGCTGATATATTGTAGGTTCTCTCTCAATGACAAATTATATTATATAAAAATATGACGAAATATATTCATGTTCATCTAATTAAAACAAAAATTTCATTATAAGGTTATTAATTTATCACCAGTGAGAACAAACAATACAAGGCATAAAAAAACACAGTTAAAATAGAATCACCCATGTTTTTTTCTTCGAGGCTTTAATAGTACGCAACTAAAATTAGAAAGAACTGTACCTTTTTTATTGCACCACGTATACGAAGTAAAAGTCGTTACGGAGCATCCAACGGATGATGAAGGATGAACGTTCATTTGTTTCATTCAAAAAAAGTAGAAACATATATGTTTATTTCGAAATGTTAGGATTATACAAATAAAAGTATTTATCTGTTAATTACGTAAAATTTCGTCTTGGCTGATAACAACGATAAGACTACATTATTTCTTATTTACGTTATAACTGTTAACGGAACAGAAGGCGTCGGGCTTCTTGTTTGTTTATTCAAATGGTTATTGCATTTTTTATTTCCGAAGACAATCTTTTTGGTATTGATGCTCAAAAATGTAAGTAGGTACTTGGTCGTTATTCTTAAACATCAAATCCTCTCGATAATGACATAAAAGGCTATCGTTCGATCTTACCAAAAATAAAGTGACTCACTCCTAGAAAAACTGTTATAGGACAGTTTGACCTCAAAATGTTTGAATCTTGAATCTTTCAACTTGCTATGCCGGTTCGTTTCCAAGGCGTTTTATTACGATTAGATTTAGAACGTCTCGTTAGTTTATAGTTTGAGAAGAAATGGAAAAGAATAAAGCGCTACCGTTTCAATCGGCTGATTTACAATTACCGCCGGAGATTGCTGGTTCGAGTTCTAGCAAAAGCAGTTTCGTACAATCGTCTAATTCGGCTTTTTCGGGGCGCGGAATGTATCGCTCCCACCGTAGAAGTAAATCGTTATCGAATATCGGGCCGAAAGAATATACAGCGGGCGAAATCAGGATGATTCAAGAGCGATTGCTGAGGTAAGGATGGCTTTATGTAATAACCGATCATCTCTTTTTTAATTTTTTGAAGAAACTTCCACACTCTACTGCAATACTATTTAAAAATCTTCTGGATTCCTCCTGTGTCGGTTGTTGTTGAATCGAACTTGCTGACCTTTCGCCAATTATTCTGTTGACTTTTTCAGGGCTTAACTGAAACTGGAGGGCATTTTACTTTGTACAGGGTGGCTAGTAAAATGATCTTTAATTTGTTTGCATTATTTGAATTACATACGGGGTGGTGAAATAAAGTTTTATTGTTTTACATTTTTAAATACCCCTTTAAAAGATATATTCAACGATATATAATACAGTATGTTATACACCAGTATTAGCGAATATTTTCTGGATTCAGGTTATGTGGCTAGTAAAATGATCTTTAATTTATTTGCATTATTTCAATTACATACGGGGTGGTGAAATAAAGTTTTATTGTTTTACATTTTTAAATACCCCTTTAAAAGATATATTCAACGATATATAATACAGTCTGTAATACACCGGTATTAGCGAATATTTTCTGGATTCAGGTTATGTTGGAGCTGTTTTTATTACGTTTCAGCTTTTAAAATATCTTGCTGCCTAACACATTTTATAAAATAATACCTTTTCTCAAACAATATGTAATATTCTTATCACTTCGGGGATGTTGTAATGTTTCGCAAAATGTTTTCTCTCATTTTTTTTTTAAATCAAACATCTTGTACTATGTATTAACACTATTAAGATGAATTATTTAGTGTACCACATTTTTTTAAAAATACACCAGTGGTGGGCGTCCGGAATTTCACCTGTCTATTTTGGCAGACATTGATGGTACGCCACAGATTCCATTCATTCCATTCATATCTAAAGAAATGTAATTTCTTTTTTTTTTTCAGTCCGATGTACCTCTTCCATGCATGGTCATAACAATATCGTCAATTAGTTATTATTTTTAAGTGAAAACCATGCTCATTCATAAATGAATGCAAATGTCATTTTTTTGCCACTGACCTCCCTATGGACAAATAATATTTGGTTAATTAGGTATATCCAAATTAAATTTGGATGTTCTATTTTAGGAATATTAGTCCACATAAGGGCCTCAATATTCTTTCTCAATAAATATAAACACCACACTGCTGTCAATTCTTTTTTATAAAATATAGGCCTTAAAATTCTATCTCTCCAAATACCGCACCACACTTTAACCGACTTTCTACCTTGTTTATTTGTCGCAAATTCGCAATGTTTATTTTCAGACCTCCAATAATGTATATTTTTCGATTATGTCATACAACTGATGTGGTAAATAAGGATATAAAATATACAGGGTGTTTGATTTACAACACCAAAAATTGAGGGAAGTAACATTTTGCGAAAAATCGCGATACCGCGTATTTGATAATATCGTCTGAGAGAAACAAAGTTTTTTAAAATATGTTGCGCAAAAAAATATTTTAAAAGTTAATATGCAACTTAACAAAAATCTTTCCAGGACAACCTGATATAACGCTGCATTAGAGACCGCCATATAGATATTTATATCCAGTCCCGAGACTGTGTTTTGATCGCCAGCTATCTCTGATCATTAACACAAGGCATACCAAATTCAACTGAGCATGTCAGATTAGAGAACTGTTTCACGAATTCACATCTTACAAACAAAAATTTTAGAAGCACATATCCACATTGCGGCCGGTTCACACTACACGAATAAAGGCTGCGCTTACTTGATCAAACCTGATCCGATTTACTCCGTATGTAACACAAATAAATTTGAAACAATTTACCACCTTCTATTTACTTGTCCGATTTATAATGCTCTCCATAGCGTGGAGTTTTCCAATAACCAACAACCTTTATTACCGCTTCAAAAAATTGGATTTACTTGGGTCAAAACGTCTGGCTTATCTTATAAATATATTAGACCAATCCAATGATATAGAACTCGTCCATTTGAATTGCAATATTAAAATAATATAAAAAAATTAAAAATAATTTCACCAGAAACAACTTTTGTATTCAAACTTTTTTTTTATAACACCCATAGATTTGTAGATAAGGTACAGGCCCCTCTGTATCTGGTTATGCAGAGTGAAGAAGGACTATTACTCTGAATTTTGGTATGAGTATATATGAGCAGCACCTTTTAAAAATAGTGCCTCGTATCTAAAACGAACAGTTTCTGAGATATTTGAAATCAAAATCTGATTAAAAAATATTAATATTATCCTACGCTCATTTTTAACCATTTTTAGATGTACAGATTTTCGTGCGGAATATGCATAAAATAACCGTGTTGATTGAAATTAGTCTACCACATTCCGGACAAAAATCTTTCTATCTAAATGATAGGTAAAAATAGGTAGATGATAATATAAATATTTTTTACTTCGAATTCTATGAAAAACGACGGAATATGCCATTAATCAAATCTGTCAAAAGTAACATTTTCTTATTACACTCTGTATAGTTGAAAATATCAAATATGTCTAAAACTGATCATTTTAGATATGGGATATCTAAGATAAAAGTTATTCAGTATCCAAAAATATAATATAAAGCTGATATTGACCACGATTATATGACGCACCCTGTATATTTGAAAATATTTTTAAAAGGTGCACTGGCTACTCCTCAATGCGAAACTTGGCATATGACCATAATTAGCACTGACGTATATTGTAAAAATATTTTCGCATTTGCAATATTGCCGGTTCTACCCGAAATCAGGGCAATGTTGACATTTTAAATGGAACATACAGGTTAGAAAAAAAGTACCGAAACCTTCAAAACTGCCAAAGCCGGAATGATAAAATTCAATACCTGGGGGGTTTTGAACCTGCAGAATTCAAACAGCAATGTTGTCAGATTTATCATTTTGACGTTTACGTCAAAATTTTCTTATTTTAAATGCAATGCCCTATTTGTCTTGAAATATTTCTTGCGTAAAATCATTTGGACTGATAAGTCCAAGTTTACAATGGAAAATATTTTTAATAGACACAATCTACATCTTTGGGCGACAGAAAATCCTCAGAGAAAGAATTTTTTTTTGCTGAATAATGAACAGTGGATTTCGATATCATAACTAATAAAATATCTGAATTCACAGGAGTATCAGAAAATGTTGCGCACTATGATAGCAGATTTTCTAGATGACTTAGCTGTAGCTGTTAGAGATTATTTGTGCAAGTTCGATGTAAATGTTTGAGGACCAGTGGTGATCTCTCGACTTCTACGTTTGAAGGACAGAGAAACAGAGAATTTATTCAACTTTTTTAAATAATGTTGACGAATGACGAACCACGTTATACAAAATTATTTATATGTACTATAAACACAAAAATATAGCACAGACAAACTAAATACAAATGGCGCCAATTTGAATTTAAAATTGAAGTATTCAAAATTGCTATAGAACCAATTATTAATAAACACTGGCATGATTGTCATTTGAAAATCTTTTTCACTCAAAGCTTGAATATTTGCTGCAAGAGCATTGTAAAATGATTGAAATAGTTGTTTTTAGTTTTATTTAAACGATAAGGAGATACTTGCAAAAATGTAAAATATAGTTTGTCTTATTTCTATGGATTTCATTAAGGTTACAATGTATAAAGATTGAAGGTACTGGCATTATTCGAAGACTAGAAAAATGAGGTCGATACGGTTCTGGGTAATTAAGATTTAAAAGAATTCTAATTGCCTTTTTTGGAGTCTAAAAGCCCTTACGGCGGTGCTAGAATTTCCCCATCTTGTAATTGCATAATATATTATAGAATGGAACAATACAAAATAGACGTATCTTAGTACGCCCGTAGTAAGTGTGCTTTTCAACTTTCTAAGCACGAAAAGCATAGATGTTAATTTGTTACATAGAACTTCAATTTGAGCACTCCAATTAAAATTATCGTCCAAAGTGACACCAAGGAGAATGACGCTATCAGCAAGAGAGTTGAAATTAAAAGTTTTAGTGATATATGATTTAAAAATAAATTGTTTTACGAAAACCAAGACTAAGTCTTCAGCGCAACCCGGTAAGTTAGTTCATCTAATCTGGTTAAAGATGGGTTCCTGCGGATTATTGTCGTATCATTAGCGAAAAGTGCACATTTAATGGGACGAATGCGTGAAGAGAAGTCGTTTGTGTAAATAATGAAAAAAGTGACTCTAGGACAGGTCCTTGTGAGACACCATGTTTTAGATTTAAAGTCGATTGCACTCAATACCATATCGTCTGTAATAAAAGGGACTTCAAAAAAGTTTCCTGAATATATTGTATCCTTAGCTTCAAAGAAAAGAAAAGAGGATGGATCAAGAATTTTATCAATTATATTTTCAGCCACCCTAGTAAAGTGGAGGTTAAACTGCTCACAATCAATAGTTAGGTTTTGAATAACAATTGTTTATTTCATAATTTATTAACCTCCAAGAATCTCTCGATTTTTTTCATAATCATTAATAAAAGTACCAAATGCCTGTTGTTGCCAAAAGCAGTTTCCTTAACATATTGGGCTTTGATAGTCTTATAGATATTAATAAAAGTAGGATTTTTTTTTTGCGTCACATAAAATTTTTATTGTCGATTTTTTCTCGAAGTGATTCCCTGTACCAATTTTGCTTAGTGCTACGAATCCGCTTAAGAGGAAAATACCTATTAATAGTATTAGAGAATATCGTGTATAGTAAATGGGATAAGTAGTTAATGTCACAAGCAGAGAAAAAAACTAGCCTAATTTAGGGATTCTAGAGATAGCGTAAATTTACCCAAATTAGTAAATTTTCTAGTATAGCACGGTACCGAGGAAGGAGTAGTACCTTTTGTTCTTATTATTTGTGCTTTATGGTCAGAAAGACATGGGTCCAGACCTACTGTGAATCTGGAAAGTCTGTAAAAATATTATTACATTGAGGGGATCCTAGAACAAAATGGGGCACATTTATGATAATTGTTACTTTCAATGCGGTGTTTGTTTAACAGTTTTGTTACTAAGCACATTCAGTTTTTCACCTTGCCACCTGATAATATGTTGCACAACATTTTGTAAATAATTTGTTGGCCTAGTCTATGAAATTGAAAAATATGTAGGTATACAATAAAAAAACACTTTATTATTACAATATCTCTTTCAAAATTGCACTTTTCACTTGTGAAAATGTTAATTGAATGAATCGTTTTTGGGACAAAATATCACACTTTATAGAAACGGGCTTAAAAAAAAAACAATTTAATTTTTTGGAACAGTGTAGGAACAATTGGTGGAAATTGTTTAAATTTTTATGTCGAATTCGAAAAAAACTTCTAACGGCCGATCATAGTGGGAAACCCCGTCGTATACTCAACTAACCAAAAATGTTTTTTTGTCGCCTATGCATGGACTGCTATAAACTCCTGGTGTCTCGTAGGGAATTTTATCTTTGGACAAGTGGTAAATCTGGTTTTGATATACTGTAATTATACTTCTTAAGGGAGAGATATGTCTTCAGTCATGTTTTGAATATTAGGAAGGATAGGCAAGTGGCAACTAACAGAGATACATTTTTCTTTCAAAAAATCGTTATTGTGAATTTTTATAAACTTTTGCAAGGTGTCGCGAAGATATAATCAACAATCACAGCTAATACTATTGAACATCTTGGTTAAAAACGGAATCCTTCCGCATATTGATAATATAGCCATACAAAAATCATAAATATTAATGTATACGTTCATGCTAGGAGTCATTGTTAACATGAGAACATGAGAAATGAGTTATTTGAAACCAGCATGACGTAATTCCAGAAAGGTAATCTGACTTGGAAATTATTTACATAACTAAAGCATTAATGTAATGGTCTGTGGGCGTACGTTTTATGGAAAATTAATAATGCAATGGTAGGTCTGATTTTCTATCAATGAGATTTTAAATGGTGAAGAAAATATAAGAGGGATTCATAAGAATGATGCCAAATAAGAAAAGTATCATCAACGTACCGTCTTCATAGTCACAAGCAATCTTAACCGCGACCAATATAAGAATCAGTCATCCGAGACAATGTTCATGTCCCTCCTTTAGTACCGCCTCCCTTAAACAGTAAATAAGCGGGTACGAAGTAGAATGAAAACCAGTTTCAAGTCTGACCAAGCGAATAGAAGAAACGTCGGCAAGTTCGATTCGTCAACAACCGACGCCGGAGGAATCCAGAAGATTTTTAAATAGTACTAATCATTCTTCGTTGCCCGTTATTTAGAATGAACTCACGTCTTCAACCAGCCACAGTAAAAAACTTGTCGGCGGTCCAAAAAATGACTTTGATGTCGCTAGCTTTGGTTGACTTTTTTTGTTTCTGCTCCATGTCAATTATGGCTCCATTTTTTCCAAAGAAGGCTGCGGAAAAAGGACTGTCGGAAACAACTTCCGGCTTTGTTTTTAGTTTTTACGCGCTGGTCATGTTTGTTTCGTCTCCCGTATTTGGAAAAATTGTAAGTAGAGAAACGAAAAATCATGGTCTAACAGTTGCTTGAGCTATTCCCGTACTCAATCTGGTGCACGTTATATCTTATACAGGGTGTTTTCAATTGAATGTTAATAATTAAGGGGGTGATTTTTGGGTCCGTTCAAAAAAGAAAACTTCATACGAATAGGGTGGTAAACTTCTCAATAAAACAATATATAGTTTTTATATCTGTTGGATTATTGCTATGACCATGCAGCTTTTTATTTTTTAAGGGAAAAGCGTACATCGGATTGGAAAAAAAAAACAAAAAATTAAAGTTGTTTAGAAATGTTTGGAAATTGTAAGAATAATTTTTATTTTAAGAGATATCAGTGGCGTACCTTCAATCTCTGTCAAAACAGACACGTGAAATTCCGTACACCCGCTACTAAATTGTGGTACACTAAATAATGCCTCTTGTTATATAGTACATGTGTGCTAAATTTCATTAAAATATCTAAAGTTGTATTTTACCACCCTGTATCTCAAAAGTTAAGACGATTAGGACATATGTTCATTTGAAGTTTTCTTTTTAAAATGCTCCCAAAAATAGCGACCTTAATTCGTTACATTCAATTAGAAAAAACCCTGTAAATTGAAATATTCATAATTTAATCTTTTTTTTTAACTTTGCAATAAATAAGTGGCTGATAAGTGATTAAGGAAACGGTAAGAGGATGTAAATATTGTTGAGTATTAATTTTCGAGTGTGTTAAATTATAAAGAGAGAAAAATAGCTTTTTATCCTTTTACAAAACAAACAAAACCAGTTGGCAAATATTTGCTGAATGTATAGATATTTATTTTAACGAATGCAGAAATATTATCCTTCTAAACAAATTATAAAAGGTGGCCGGTTTTTGATATGATTAACACAAAAATATAATAGTATTAATTAAAAACAAGATACTGATGAACTCAAGCAACTCTTATAGGCTGTACACCCAATAATTCACCTTTAGAGAAGCCTATGATACGTTTGCAAAAAAAAAACTCACACATGGCGCATTCAATATTTTCAGAAGTCGGTGATACTGCTGCTAGTCCAAATAACATTTTTGGGAGCTTGAATTTTTATTTTATATTTATAAGGTGTTTATAAAGGAATCTTGGCTTTTATAACAGTTTTTATAGTTTGATAAGAAAATCATTGGTGTTTTGAAAGACGCTCAACAAACATGTTAAGTTATAATTCTCCAACCAAAACGTTTCTATTATTTTATTATTTTTAAACACTGTTTTTTTTTTAAAACTTACTTTTTGGGTTTTCAGGTTGTGATGTAATAATTGTTTTCTTAAAGAAATCACAAAATAGGAAAATTCTTCATTTGCACAATTTTAAAAGGCATTTTGAGTTTTGGCTAGTTCTTTAACAACCAATACGTTAAAAAAACTGAACAGTGAGATTATTGAAGTGACATAATTGACATTTAACATTTGCACACCAATAGTTTTCAAATTATTTTCCGGTTACCTTTAGTTTTGTAGTTTTGTAGTTTTTATGTTTTTTTGAATTGACTTAAGTAACTACATAAATGGAAAAATATCACATTTCAAGTAACATTTCCAAAAGTTGAAGACATTTCTTCAAAAATATTTGATTAAACTATGTTCTGCATTTTAATTACAAATAAAATTGAGACTTCGCAGATATTTTACAGTTTTTTGAGTTCAGTGAGAAAATACAATGTTTGGTATTTATAGACGATGCCGGTCCCAAGTTTATAACCGAATTTTCATATTTTTGTAGCGGTAACAAAAACGTATTCCTTGTATTTTTGGTTTATAAAGGTATAACTCAGTTACGAATAAATGGAAGTAGCGTCATAATACAAGGCTGCCCAAAGAAATTAGAAAAAACGAAACTCTAAAAGGATTGTTTGTGTACATCAATTACATGCTTCATTGCTTGATTTTAATAGAGATACTTAATTTTTTCGATAAGTACCAGTACGAGATTTCGTCATTTATATAGTTTAAAAAATGTATTTATTCGTTTTATTCATGATCGTTTTTTTGTATTTTACAAGGATTTTACAAGGATAATGATTACCATATAACCATTGTAGTGCCTGCTTCCCATAATGGGACTAACATGGCTAGTTCAAAGGCATTTAATAAGCCAAAACCATTTATTTGTGAAAGCACGATACACGTTAACATTTCTAAAAATCTATAAACGAAATATTAATTGTACCATTGCCTATTTACTTTTTTTGAAATTGGAATTTCAGCTTCCAAGGGTTGGAGCCAAATTCCTGTTCTTAGTTGGGATTTTTGTAGCTGGTGCATGCAATTTGATATTCGGGTAAGTATTGTCATAAATAATTTTGCGTTTTCAGTAGAGGGTGTTATATTTTCAGGTTATTGGACTACATCCAGAATTATACCCTGTTTACGATATTTTGTTTGCTTATTAGAGGATTCGAGGCACTCGGCTCTAGTGCTTTTTCTACCGCAAGTTATGTGTTTGTGGTCAACACTTTCCCCAACAATATCGGAGCTGTTATAGTAGGTAAATTGCTGTCACGTACGTTACACGACTGGCATACGAAATGTTGCAGGGTATACTGGAAACTTTCGTGGGATTAGGAATGAGCACGGGTCCAGTTTTGGGTGGATTTTTGTATGCGGTACGTTTCTTAACTATACCTAAATTAGTACTTTCATAGCCGTTGGCTTATTGAATGCAATAATACTATCTATGCCAATCCGATTCTGCAAAAAGAGCATATTCTACGCCGAAAGCCCAGTCAATTTTTTATTTAAAATTTGTAAGGTTTTAGAACTATTTTGCTGTAAAAATAAAAGTCTGAAAGGGTTTTACTGACTAGCCAAACTAACCAAAACTATTTTATTGTAAAAATCAAAGCCTGAAAGGATTTGTATTGGTATTGGTATTGGTATTAAAGGGGGGCGCCGCTGCGGGTGTCCAAGCACTTAGGCCACCAGATGGGCCTGTTGTGCCCCTAGACCGCATGAAAGGATTTTACTGACATAAAATGAATTTGAGTTTTAAAATCATATAAACTCTTTGTACTATTTCATCCACTCCAGGTTTGTAAACAGTACTTAGATGATGCTCCTGTACCTTATCTCAGTAAGTAGGATGCTGAGGAAAATGTTAAATACAAAACGTGTTTTACCCTAGGTATATATTTTATGTATAGTATTTGTATGTGTTCCGTTGTGCCAGGACAATAATTATATTTTTCTAAATGAGATGCTATTAAAAATTCTGATTATTTGCTTGATTGTGAGTATTTTGTCCTTACATAGCATACGCATAAATAAGTTGAAGACATTGTACATCTCGGTAAGAAAGCCAAACTTAAGCTCTGTGACATGTTAGTTTTATCCCATGTCGCTTATTGCAGTATCATCTGTTTTCCGGCGAGAAAAGGAGAGACCTCAACGACTTCAGAATGCTTGTGTTCGTTTTAATTATAATCTCAGAAAGTATGACACTATTGTTCAGTGCCTCTATCATTCGGGTTGGCTCAACCTTGAGGACCGTTATAAACTTCAGTTAGCCAACTTTGTTTTATTACTAAACTCCAATAAGACTCCGTCGTAATTGTTTGATAAACTGTGCAGAGGAAATGATATTCATAATCGGGACACTTCGGTAACTTAGATAAACACAATATAGTCCTTCAAAAAAGCTTTAATATTCTTGTCAGTATCTAGCAAAAGCGTATAAGTTTATGATATGTGTCTATTTCTTGTATTTACGCTGTATATGATGAGTGTTTTTTTTTGTTGACAATTATGGTGTTGTCTTGGTTATTGTGGTTACATGGAAGAGCGCAATTTGCGAATGTGGTCACTGTTGTATTACAATTTATATGGTAATATTTTGATTTTTGATAAAGATAGTTTATTATTATTATTAACAAGTCGTGTATTTAATTTTAAATCTAACTAACCTGTATAATATCTTAACTATTTAAAAAAATTAATTACTTATATTTAATACAAAATTAACAAGTAACGCAAGTAAATAGAACTTATTACTAATTATAAAACATTTTCTACCTAACCTCCATCTTTAGCAATACAAGTAGAATATATGGTTTCAAGCTATTATCTTCATTCGGGTTTAAAGGCCGTCGTCGATTGGAATTACTTCCTAACGTTTCGCTAGCACGAGTGGCGAGCTTCTTCAGAGGTCCTTCCATCTCCGATCTCCTATTAATTTTTAGGATAAGTTAATTTTTTCAAATCGCACCCTAGTGGGAACAAAAACTTTTAAAAACCGGTACTTTTTTTTGCAACATTTTGACACCAAAATTTTCGAAATCCGTTAAAAAAATAAGCTCACAGGAAGGAAAAAACAAGATAAGTAAATACATCTTTATAAAAACAAAATATTACTTAGGTCGTTTTGCTTCTGTTCATTATTAATTGTCACGTCGGCAGGATTAAAAATGCAGAAGAAACTCTCGACAAGATCATGCTGTGGAAAGAAAAAAACATATTAGTATTTAAAAAACAATAAAATTCACGGCAAAGTTTCTTCTGAGATTCAACGATTAGAATTTTTTTGTTGAAAGTGTTTTATTATGGGCAAAGTTGATATGCTTTTGGAATACGCGGATACAGTCAGAAACTAACGTAAGTATTGTATGTAAACGTACGTCATAAGCTACAAGCACTTTTTACCGGAAACTCATAAAAACAAGAGAACAGATTTTTTCTTTTCAAATCTGTCATTTTTTGGGATAATTCAACAAAATAATAAAAAAAATGGAAACAAGGTCGGAGTCCTATGAATTCTTCTATGGATTCCACCTTCCAAACACAAAAACACAGAAAAGTTAATTTTTCTGAAAAACGACTTAAAATTCCCTATGACAAAAAATACTCAAAATCAAGCGCATAATTAGAATTTTTAAAAATATTCGTAGCATTCCATAAAAAAAATAAACTTAGTTAATGTCCTGTTACAACTGAACACATAAAAATACTATAAATAGAATATATACTTAGGGTTAAACACATTTTTTCCTTATCAATTTTTTAATTATTGAGATAAGATCTTAGATGGACTACCTTATACTTTCAACATGATTCAGACGTTTCATAAATTTTAAGGTAGATGGCGCTCGAGTCCTATAAGTTCAGTAAGGTGTATTTTTTTAGTTTGAACATAGAAATTAGAATTTATGAGGTAATTAGTTTGAATCACTTAATACACTTTAGGAATGGGCATAACACGCTACTGATATTTAGCTGTAAATGGCCCCACCAGCCAAATTGTTTCTTTCCTATGAATTCTTCTATGGATTCCACCTTTAACTCTTCTCTTATATGTGCATTTCTAATTTTATCCTTTCTGGTTATTCCTTTCACTCTCCTCAAGAATTTAATCTCTGCTACTCCAATTTTGCTCTTATCTCCGTCTGACAATATCCAAGACTCGCAGGATTGGTCTGTAAATTGTTTTATAAACTTTCATTTTAGTTTCCCTGGAAATTTCGTTTTTATTTATGAGCCCCTTACTCACTGCATATTATATCTTATTTGCTTTTTGTATTCTATTATTTAATTCTGTATTCTGTTCTCATGGTTCTTCAAACATAATTCCCAAGTACTGGAAGCTACTAACTTGTTCCATTAGTGTACCACGTTTCTGACTAATTTCTCTTTTGGTTTTATCTATGTTCATTTTCATTCCGTTTTTTGTTGGTATCTTCTTCGAGCTTCCTGCTATGATGATGATCTAGTTTTTTGTATCTAACGTAAAGGTATTTTGAACGCTATTCTGTCATTCTAATTAGATGGCCCATATAAGTTATGAATAGTAAAGGGCTCAAAGTAGCCCCCTGTCTCACTCCTTCTTGTGTTATTGATTTCATGTTCTTATTTATTATTCTCGTTTCGTTGTATAAACATTTGATAGCTTTTATTAGTTTATTGTCAATCTTTCTGGCTTGTAGGCTTTTCCATATTTTTATTCGCGGTACTTTGTCAAACGATTTTTCGATATATCTTGCCAATTTTCTCGAAATCATTTCTTTTAAAGTGAACACGTTATGCTGGGGCTTCTGTCTTTCCGGAACCCACTTTGCGTTTCTGTTAGAGTTGGTTCTACTTTTGATCGTAATCTGTTTTCAACTATTTTCTCAAACAGTTTCAATTGTGTATATAGCAGTAATATTCCCCTATAATTGTTGCAGTTCTCTATTTTCTGTGCAGTGGTACTATTAAACCCATTTTACAATCTTTTTTGCCATCTCAGCTGTAATTTTATCATCCTCACCTGGTGACTTGCCGTTTTTTAGCTCTGTTATTGTCGTAATTAATTCTTTTCTCGTTATAAGTTGTTCATTTTGTTCTGTCTCTTTTTGTCCTACCATTTGTTTACCTTCGTATTCTGTCTTTTTGTCTATTCTTATTCTGTCTTTTGTCTTTCAAAATATTCTCTTCAGCGCTCCATTATATCTGCTTCCGTTATTAGTATTAGTATTAGTCACCTGCTTCGTTTTTTTCTATTTTTTTATCTTCTCGTAGACCTTTCCGTATTTTGCAGAAAAGGTTTTGATTGGTTTTGCTGTCTGACTATAATTTATCTGAAAATTCCTTAAATTTTTATTATGTTTCACTTTCGTTCTTTGTTATTTGTAAAGTTCATAACTTCGGTGCGTTTTGCCCCTAAATAGCCTTACAAAAGCCATTTGCTATAATTACATCGTGCAATGTGCAAAAATCCAACAGTCTTTTTTCGTTGTTGTTTCTTGTGTCTTCTCCGTGTTTTCTAATATGCGTTTAGTATATGTGGTCTCTTTTTCCAACGCTATATTTAAATCCTCCCAAAATTTATCCTTAGTCTCTGCTATCTCGTTTTCGTCTGACCCATAGCCAGCAATTATTGTTTTTAATTGTATGTTGTTCTTTAGTTCTACACTCAAAATTCTTTCTATATTGCCTCCCATTTATTCAGTGTGGTTTGGACATCATTGTGTACATCCTATCCCAGTTTGCGCTCGTTCTTTTTCGTTTACTAAACTCGACAGTAGTAAATGTCTATTTTCCAATATCGTTGTTCCTTTTCCTTTTTTCTTTGTTTCTGATATGACTAGTAACTCCAAATTTGCCTTCTCGAATTTATTTACCGCTGTTCCTCTTTTCCATTTATTCCTCTAGCGTTTCATGTTCCCATTGTAGTTATTTTGCTTATTTTTTGTTGTTTTCTTGCTTGTTCTTACAAATCATTTCCTTGTTAGTTGCAGGGTCATGTCTAGTAAATGTAGGAACTTTTTTTGTGTTTCCTAGTTTTTTAATGTTTCGAGATTTTCAGTTCTTTTGCTATACCTCCATTTTTCACCAACCACAGTCAATTTGCTGTATCCCATTCTAACAGATTTTTCCTTCTGCCTTTCTTCCCCTGCTCTCACTGTTAAATTTTTTTGTACATCCGTTTCTGTCTTAGTAATGTCATTGTTAATAAATATGTGGCTGGTGTCCTAATTCTGTTTAAGCTTATATTTATGGCTCAGAATGACTTCCTTTTCGTGTGCGCTTGCTAGTTCTATTAGATATATTTTTTCTTCTAAACTATGTACCTTTTTCATGTTAACCTCTTGTTTCAGAAAGTTTCTCAGAGTTTAAGTAAATTTGGATTTCTGGTATGAATTAGTAAGCCATTCACAACAATGTCATTCTCCCTTTTTGCCTTTTTCTAGTCTTTCAAGCGTATTTTTGATTTCCAAGAGTTCTTCTCGTTGCTTCATATTTTCATTTTGAATTCTTATTTGTTCCAGTTTTAAGCTATTGTTCTCTTCTCTCTCTCTTCTCTGCTTTACTTCCTATTCTATATCTCTTATCTGCTGCATTTCACCTTTAATTCCCGCAGAAGCAAATCCCATTCGTCTTTGTTCGACTTTTTGGAATTGTCTTATCGCAAAAAGTCGTCGCGTCGAACCTTGACCTTTATCGCTCGATCCGGATTAATAGATTTAATATTATTGCTTTCTCACCCTATTCTTGCACTGTAATCACTTAGTCAATTTATTTGCTCGAATCTCTCCCGAAATTTGGAGTTAATCACGGAGCAATAATCAAACCAACTTTATGAGATGTATTCATGATCATCTAATTAAAATAAAAATTTAATATAATATATAAGATATAAGAAATCACGGTTAAAACCATATGTCGGGAAATCCCCCCTAACGCAGGCATTTCTCCAGACAGAAGTGGACCTGAAAATGGTTTTTATTATTATTTATGAAACAGGTTGAGAGAAAGTTTTCAAATTTTAGCATTTTAGTAATTCTGGCACACGGAGACGTAACTTTTTTATGCGTTTTAGGCTATTTCCCATCTTATTTATTTATGAATGAAATGTAGATTCTGAAACTGAATTAATAGGTTTGTTTTGTTTATTTTTTTTTGATGGCTCACTAGCAGGCTATTTTTATGAAAAATAAAATAAAATATCTTGATAGTTGAGAATGCACTGGCCAAACTCTTGGAAAGTTGAAGAGATTGGTAAGGATGTAGTCTTTGCATTTGCAGCAAGCTAAACTCTAAAAACTCTAATAAAACGGCGACACTTTTTTCATAGTAATAGTAGTAATTTCAATTCAAATATATGAAAACACACGGCATACTTTTTTAAATCTTGAAGAAGGAGTACTTCGACCCAAAAGGCTGTAGCGTAAGATATTTTTAAGTGAAATTAAACTATAGCTTTTGAATGAACCAAACACACACTGTAATGAAAATTTGATGTTGCAACATTTTTCATATCCAAGAACACCTTGGTGTAGACGGAGAACAATTGGAGCGTGTTGCAAGATATAACGTTCTGGAATAAGCATTACTTGCACAGTCGATTATTGCTCTTAAATCAATAGCCGCATAGAGAAAGCACCTGCAGTTTTTGACAAAGTGAAAAAGATGTTCTGTAGCCGCGACCTGAGCCTGGATTTTAGAATACTCATGCTGTACTATGGCGTAGAAAGTTGGACGATGAACAGAACAGAAAGAGAAGTAGACGCATTGAGTGTACCTACCAAAGAATGCTCAGAATTTTAAGTGGAAGACACCACCAACGCAAAAGTGTTTATCAGAATGCACAAACATCCATCTGGATCACATAATGCGGAGTCCAAAATACGCAATTCTTCAGCGGAAAGATTGTGGCAGAAGGTCAATCTTGGCTGCGGAATCTATGGGAGTGGGCCTTTTCAAAGCAGCAGTTTCCAGGGTCAGGATTGCCAAGGTATCAGCAATTGGAGAAGCAATATGAAAAAGAATACGTTTGTTGAAACATGTGCCTCTCTATAATTTTTGAAAAAATTGGAAGTATGCTGGTAACTGGTAACATTCATTCAATTTGGGTGTACGATGAAAAATTATCATTAAGTAGTTCGGAATTACACATGTTTCGGTTTTTATTGCGCTCACTAGGCCAAAACTATTTATCTGTGAAAGCGCTATACCTTAACTTTTATTTCTAGACAGCTAGGTGGATTTTCTTTGCCATTTTTCGCACTGGGTATCATTATGGTTGCCATAGTGCCCCTAAACATGTGGCTTTTACCATCGGTTCAGGGTATATGTTGAAATTACTTACTTTATGAGTCACCTGGGTTCCTTAAACGATAATGAGTTGTAGATTTTGACACCGTAACGAGTAGAAAGACGTCGATGCTTAAACTACTTAAGGTACCAGCGGTTTTAGTGACCGGAACTGCGGTCGTGGTAGTCTCAAGCACATGGGCCTTTCTAGACCCGACATTGGAACCTCATTTGCGACAGGCAAGTGCCAATTTGTTAGCTTGATTCGCGTAAATAACGTTTCATTTTCAGTTTCAGTTGACCTCGGCCAAGATTGGACTCATATTTTTACTTTTTTCCGGTCTCTATGGCATTTCTAGCCCGGCCTGGGGTTGGTTGGCGGATAAACTAAATAATCATTGGTCGATGATGGTGGTAGGAATGTTTATGTCTACAGTCGGTTTGCTATTGCTGGGCCCATGTCCTTTTATTCCGTCATTTCCTAGGTAATGTAACGCAGGTAACAGGATGGTATTGACATGACATCATTAATCATTATCATCATTAATGAAGGACAATCAGGGATAACGGAAAAATGGTGAAAATACTTGTTAGACTCCAGATATGAAAAAACAAGGGATTCAGTGCTCTCCTGTCTTACAGCACAGTGTGTTTTACTATTTAGCCACCATTATGCTCTGTTTCTTAATGCGAGACAGTTCTAAAACGTGACTTTGCAACGACATGCATCATTAAATAGGGTGGACAACTTAAAGGTTATATCGTAAAGTTCAGACAAATTTCAATGATTCAACCTTGAAATAAATACAGGTTTAGTCAAAAGTAGCGCAACTGTCATATATCTCAGGCATTATAAGAACTAAATTACGGAGTTTCTGATTAGGTTCTATCCGACAGGGCCATAGGAGACATGGCCACATTTCTAGTTTTCTCCCTGAAATACCAATTTTTTTTTATTTTAAATAGAAAGGGTATGTATTCATTAATTTTTAGATTACTCTTAAATTTTTAAATATTTTTTATTTAACATACCCTGTGATAATCATTTTTGCACAAAAAACACAAAATTAAGGCCGCCAGTTTTAGGCTAGTATTAGTGTTAGGTTATGTTGTGGAAGGCGGAAGAATTGGGATGACGGGAAGAAGCAATTAGGAAGTAATACATGCAGCTCATTTCAGTTGGCAAGTTTAGTGGCGAAGGCATGGCACCATTCGAAATTGGATCTCATTAGGGTGAGCGCATAACGGAAATTATTGAGATATAAATTTAAAAAGTTTATTATTAAAGTTTATTATTAACTCCAAAAAATTATTAATGGACGTACAGAGAACAATATTATTAGGAAGAGTAACAATCTTTACTGTAGCCCGATTGTATTCGTCATCAAAAAGTCAGATGGACTAAGGTTGTGCGTAGATTTTAGAGAATTGAACAAGGTTATGGTAAGAGATCATTTTCCTCTTCACCCTTCTAATTGATAGCTGTCTAGATTAGTTGAAAAACAAAAACTACTTTCAATTTTGAATTTGAAAAACAGTTTTCACCATGTTAAGATGGCCCCGATTCTATTAAATATACTTCATTCATTAGGCCATTGGGCCAATGGGAGTATCTATCTATGCTTTTCGGGTGTTTTGTAAATGTAATATTGAAACCCCTTATTCGGAGTAACAAAATTTTCAACTATATGGATGACAACTGATTGCAACAGAACATCTAGATTCTCACTTATGCGACGGAATCTTCTAGAACTATCTAACTATTTTTGGCGTTTTATGGAGTCATTTTCCGCATTCAAAGGTAAGGAATTTGAATTTGGTGAGAGAGAACTCTCATTTTGAATATTCCAAAGCATACGCTTTGGAATATTTAAAATTGCCCTATTATGGCAATTAATTCCCCGGATTTAGAAAGTTGCTATAGAGTTAATGCGTTTTTAGTTATCCATTTATATGTTTTGCCAAAGGCTGGCATTCCAATATATTTTATGGGCAATTTTTGCAAGGTATTGAATATATATTTCATTTCCTTTTAACTGCAGTTCTACTCTTTATTGGAAAAATAATTGATTTTATTGATATGTAAGATTTAGAAAGAATATAGAAAATAAAATGTAATATAGAACATATCGAGCATTATATATAATAATAATTATACACAAATAAGCAATTAATTGACATATTAATTGTTCTAAACTGCCAAACGTTATATGGAAGTAAGTTAGATAAATTATAACAAATAAATAATAATAATAGCAAATATTAATACGTAATAAGGGGTTCTGCGTTGTTTTCTAGCATGTTATCAGCTTTACACATTCTGTCTCCTTTTTCGATCACATGTTCGACGTTCTTACTCAAACCCTCTTGCAAGAGGATTTCAACGTTTCTCATTTCTCATTTCTCATAAAAGCGGGGATTTAATTCACAGGTGAAGTATTCATTTTGACAACAAAATTCGTACAAAGGGACATAGACATAGACATAGAAGACGTGGGTATTTTTTTTCTGATCTTCTTGAGTGGTTATCGATGACCCCAATAGACCCATGTGAATAAGATCTAACATTTGCTGGAAGTTTTCAAAAACATCAGCGTTCATGTCTTTATGACAGTGTTCAGTCCGTTTTGACCATTTACAATCTATGAAATACGTCTAATACTATTAAATTTTACTGTTTAATAATGATTTATAACTCTCTCACATTAAGAAACAGAGCCCTGTATATCAGCTGGGAAAATTGTATTCATTTTTTAAGTAAACAGCTTGGGAGGTGAATTCATTCATGGTGGATATTGACCGGACTATATACAAAATGCAAAACTTCCAGACATCATCAGATCTTTTACGTTGCTCTTCATACTACTACGACTAGGCGTTTTTTATTTTTTTGGATAATGTTGCATAAATTAAGTTATCCTAATTATCAGCGAGGAAACGTAAAAAAGTGAATTGACTGATTTTTATTTTCAGCTCGCTTTGGCTAAATTTAGTCGCATTGTCGATTTTAGGAATCTCAGTTGCTCTGGCTCTGATGCCAACTTTTCAAAGTGTGCTGAATAGTGCAATGTAAGTATTTTGTTTTTTACTTAGGTCCTAGATTATTTTAAATTAAACCATCCCGATTTTCGTAAATAACACGCCATATATATTATTATTTCTGAAAGATCTTATAAAAACCGACAAAAGTATGTCAGATACCTATGTTTAATACTTTGTGATTTATTTTTACTTTTCGAATAGTTACCCTTCTTTCTGTCTCAGACTATTGCTATAATATTCGTTGATCATGACAAAAGTATTACCCAGCAGAACTCTAACAAAATTAAAAACTGAAGAAACCAAAGGAATTTGTTGGAACCGTATTACTACAAATTAACTTTTAACAATAACAATATCATACTTGGATACACATCTTTAGTCTTTTTCGTGTATTTTCTTGGACGTTCGTTAGCATTAAATGAATCCACCTGCATTTCTGTGAGTAATAATTATTTAAAAATGCTCCAACCTTCTCGATGGTAAGGTGGAGGAATGGAAGGGATAATATTTGCGTTTTAAGGTGATGCCATTAACGGTAGATTGGGATGTTTCACATAAGCTAGCTATGTGGTGGCTACTGACTTGGGGATTATCTTGAACTTGAAGTAAAATATCCAATTCTCTTTCTTTATTGATAGCATTCCGGTTTAACACTTTCCATTTTTCATATTCAATACTGGCACTAGCATCAAACCGTTCCATTAAACAATGAAAAGATTATCCAGTTGGTATGGCTGGTTGGTATAGGTTGCCAACAATTTTTTTCCGCTTCATATATAAACCATATCAATTAATTCATCATTCAGGTGTGGTAAACGGCATTTGAGTCACAAGTTGCATACTATACTTTTTCTACCACTGTTAGATTTTGGGTAAATTTTTGCAAAACAACACGTTCGGTAAACTTTTTAACTCCCTCGTTTATTAAAAACTCGCTCCGCTCATGTCAAATAAACTCGTGAGTCAAATGCCGTTTACCGCACTTGTTGCATAATATACTATTTTCTACTCCCGTCTGTAAAAAACCTAATTACTCACCGATCTAGCGGGCGGGAGCGTCACTTTTCCACGTCAGTTTCGTTTCCCACGAATCCGAGCCATTTCGGACATTTTCGGGATTTTACCGCACGGATTTGGAAGCGATCGGATGTTTTCGGAGATAGATAGATAGATAGATAGATATTTATTTCGCTTTTCGATACTACATATAACACATATATGGGTATATTAAGCGCGTCATATCACATTAAAATATAGTGTTTAAACAATACATTTAAAAAAAATCATCTACTGAGTAGAGACACCTATTAGTTAAAAAGGTCTTAATTCTTTTCTTAAACACAGATATACTATCAGTTTCTTCGAAGCATTTATAGAAATTTAAAGCTCTGTTATATACTTTCAAGCCAAAATACCTTGGGTTTTGTTGCCCAATATGCAGTCTAGAGAATGGAACATCCAAGTAATCTCTTTGCCGTGTGTCATGTTCGTGCAAGTCTCCTATTCCATCTTATTATATTACTTTTGACGTAAATCAAAACGGAATAAATATATAATGAAGGAAGTGTCATGATCTGAAGTTCCCTAAATAAATCCCTACTAGTTACACGCATCATGTAACGAATAGCACGTTTTTGTGCTAAGAAGACCCGGTGTGCACCAGTGGCTAGACCCCAATCGATTATACCGTAACCTATCACTGATTGGAACAGCCCATAGTACACCAGCTTTAAAACGTCAATAGATACCGTATCTCAAATATTTTGGAATAAGTATGAGCAGGAGCTTAATTTGGGCAATATATTGTCGATGTGATGATTCCATGTAAGTTTGTCGTCAATGTACAGACCGAGAAACTTAGTAGCCTCCACGTTTTCTATAGAACGTCCCTCCAATTGGAGAAGAATACTGGAATCAACGCGAGTATTTTTTGTGACTATTTCCATAGCTATTGACTTAGATTTATTTAATTGTAGTCCGTTATCGCGACACCATTCATTCACCCTCGTGACCCTTGGTTCTGCGGCCCCTTTTAAATTAGCTCTGTTTTTATCTGTAACTAAAATGCTTGTGTCATCTGCATACAGTACAAATAATGCATCTATATTATCCCGAGGAAGATCGTTAATAAAACAATTAAAGAGGAGCGGTGATAGGCAGGATCCTTGCGGGGTACCTCTGCCTACATATTGAGGGCTAGATTTTGAACCGCCGATCACAACCTGCTGTACTCTCTCAGAGAGGTAAGATTTGACCCATGAGTTTGCTGGACCTCTAATGCCCATATTTTCCAGTTTTTTTAAGAGCAGGCTGTGATCGACAGTGTCGAAAGCGCGACTCAAATCAAAAAATAAGCCTAATGTGGCTGTTTTGTTATTAAGGCTATTGTAGATATGCTCCAGAGCACAGTCCAGAGCTGTAGTTGTGGCGCGGTTGGCTCTAAATCCGTTCTGAGCATCAGAAATCAAAGAGTATTTTTCAAGGAAGCTCTGCAGTCTATCATTATAACAGGACTCAAAAATTTTTGCCACTTGACATTGAAGAGCTACCGGGCGGTAGTTCTCTATGTTGGTTTTATTGCCTTTGTTTTTAAAAATAGGTACGATTTTTGAGTTTTTTAAGGCCTGTGGATACTTGCCCTGGAGGAAGCTCAGATTGACTAAATATGATAGAATAGGAGCTATAATATCTTTAATAGAGATTAACAAAGTGCCCGGTATTTCATCGATTCCAGATGATTTCTTACGGCATACTTTTCTAATTACTTGTGTTATCTCTACTGTTGTAGTAGGGTAGAGAAACATCGAGCTTGAGTGTATTTTAATATCACGCGTTAGATTTTGAGGCTGCTTGCTATTGTTAGCAAGATCAGCAGAATATTTGTTAAAAATTTCACAGATTTTGGATCTGTCTTGTAGTGTTTCACCACCAACGGTTATGTTGGTTATAGAAGGTTGTGTTGCTATTTTCCATGACTATTGCCCAACTTTCCCTACTTATGTTATCAGATTTCATTAACCTTAAATTGTGGTGAGTTTTCTTTGCGTGTTTAAGTTTTTTTGTTGTAATGGGATTTAAGTCCTTTATATTTTTTATTATATAGATCATTTTTTATTCTTTTGTTTACTTGATGCATCTCGTGTACCGCAAGACTCAGCTCTCTTAATTCTCTATTAAACCAATTGGTTTTTTCCTGTACGAGACTTTTCCTTTTTTTGTAAATGGAAAACTTGACATAAATATTTGTTTCAGTTTTTCGTAAAAAGTGTTAAATTTTTTATCTAAGTCATCAGATTGAATATCGTAGAACAAATTATTCCAATCTGTGTTGGATACCAAATCTATAAAGGAATTTACATTATTTTCGCTAAACTTTCTGAAAAAGCGTTCTGTACAATTATTATGGCAGAACTCCTCAAAAAAGAAGAGCTGAAACGTGTGGTCAGAGACACATGTGTCTACTGCCAAGCTTTTTAGTCCGGTAAAGTCGACGAAAATATTGTCAATGCATGTTCTAGAATGATAAGTTATTCTGGTGGGCTCTTCTATAGAAGCAACTAAATTATACTCAAGAAGTATATTTTTTAGTATTTTAGTTTGTTTGTTGTTTTCAAGCAAGTTGACGTTAATGGCATCGCACAAAATGTGCTTATTTTTAGGTTCGTATATAGCTTCTAACATTATTGAGAGTTTCTCTACAAATGCATCGAAATCTCCCTTTGGAGATCGGTATACAGAGAAAATTGTGACACATTCCTTGTTAAGCTCTAATTTAAAAAATTTAAACTTTCTCGACCCAAGATACAGACTCCCCCTCCTCTGCAACTAGTTCTCGAGAAATAACTAAGAACCTTATAATCTAAAAGCTTAAGAAACTTAATGTCTGAGGATTCATGATGTTCTGAGATACACACCACATTGACGTCGTGTTTTTTTAGTATTGATTTGAGGGCTTCTTTTTTGTTTGTGATACCCCCTTGAATATTAAGGTTCATAACTACGAATTTGTGAGGTGTCTCACCGTCTGGTTTAAAAAATCCTCATTTTCTGAGTCGTATTTACTGGCGCTGTTTTTTACATTTTTCTTGGGAAAGAAATATCTGCTTAGTCTTGCTCCTTCCGGCCATAGGTCTCCGTTTAAAATTGCATCTTTGTGCGTGAAAGGGGCACATATTTTAAAGGAACTCCACTGTTCGTTGTGGTTAAAGTTAAGTTTTTCACAGTTTAATCTACAGATACCAGATAACTTTTCTTCAATCTGTGTTGATGTTGTGGATTTATCCAACCTTGTTACATATATCCAAGCTTTCTTCTCAACTCCTTGTATTCTACTTGTTGTGTTTGTTCCTTCTATAAAAGTTCTGTTTCTTCGCCGTATCGGCTGGACTAATTGAAATCCATCGTCATCTTGCTTGTTGTTATTGTCTGTGTTAGGCCACTTATACATCTATCATTTTCTGGTACAATTAATATTTACGCAGGGGTATCTGAAAAAATCGGTAAAGATCAGTTTTCTGAAAAACTAAAAATGGTTTTGAGTAAAGCTTACAAAACTGCAATTCTTTGCCCACTTAAACTTTTTCGTAACAGCTATAGTTTATCACTGTTCTACATATAAAAAACTCACCCTGCATATGAGCATTTTTCAGGCGTTTAAGACAAAAAAATGATGATTAACTTCAAAAAATACGTGTAAACTATTACATTATATAAAAAATAAATTTGTATTTAAAAAAACATAGTAAACGGCTAAAATATAAAACAAATTATGTTAAAAATCAGGTATTGGATTTCAAGGAAAATACTCGCCCATTGGCGCACTGTCTGTAGAAAATAGAAAATATACGGGGTGGGTCAAATAAACGATGTTGATACTAAGTTGTTTTTGTTTAAATGGAACACCATTTTTTTATATCCATATTCGATTTTCGCGTCAAATTTCACATATCTCTTAGTTTTTATGAGCAAGGGAATAAAAAAGTTTGAGAAATTATTTTCTTTGGTATTGAAAATGACCACCATTAACTTCTTAATAATATACCAAACTGTTTAAATCCACTTCCAAAACATTACTTTACATTACTATTTTCTTTATTTCGTACTTAATCCTAAATTTAAATCATCTAAATTTTCCTTCTAATAATTTTTTTTATCCTGTGTTATCATTAGTTTCTGGACGAGCTGGCACGATTTTGTACATGCCTGTTTCTATACATTTTTTCTCAATTTTTCCCACTGTGGATCTTGTAATAAGTCTTTTTGGATATTTTGCGTGAAACAAATTACAAACTTACAAAGTTCTCATTTTGTCTCCATATCCAATAAAAATTAAAATTTCAGTTCTTTGGTTTATTTAATGTAAAGCCTTTCCTGATACTAGCTAATTGCCTGCTTCTCTTGCTCATAGATCATAGAATTTGAAAATGATAAGAAAAAGGAATTTTATTAAAAAAAAAAGAACTTGGTATCGATATTTACTTTTTAATCCAGGTGGCTAGTGAGTTTTTGAGACTAAGATAAGTAAGTATCTTAGTCTCAAAAAATCATTGCGTTGACCGACGTTTGCGTTACTCTTATGGAAAATGTAATTATTTATTTATTTATTTGTCAAGCTATATAAAACTATTCATAATTTACAATTAGTAAATAACAATAACAGTGACAAAAACGATTAAAAAAAAACGGTTGCACAAGCTTCAAGAATGTGTTGCAACCCTGCAATATAAGAAATAAACAAATACAAAAATAAGTATGCAAAAAATATATAGCTAACTATAAAATTAAGAGAAGGTTGATGGGGGCAGCGGGCAAGTTGCAATGCGAGACAGGCCCGCAAAACACACTTTTGAAGAATCTGCTTGAAATACGAAAAAAATGGCTAATTAAACCTTTTTTGTGTGAAAGGAAAATTGTGTAACCAAGAGCTCCCGCATATGACCGGGTAAGGAATTCCGCATTCGAACCGAAACAAAAAGCAGCCGTTCTGTGCTTAGGAATCCTGAAGTCGTTTCTAATGCCAAACACATTGAACGGGTTGACCGAAACCAAACCGAAAACAAAATTATACATTTCACACTCTCTGCGATTCAGTATATAATTGCTATTTACATATATACAAGTGTTTTGAACTTTCTGTATAGCATCAGCTCTGTGGGTATTCAATGAGCTCCCATAAACAACATTCGCATAATCAAAGACAACATAAAATTATCGCACAAATAGTATTTAGTTTTAGCTGGCAAAACTTTTTTAACATCGTTCTTTTACACGCATAAAGGCAATTTTCAGTTCTTTTTTAATATGTGATTGAAAAGCAAGATATTTGTCAAAAATTACTGCTAAATTCTTAGCCTTTGTAACGGTGAGTAAAAATTCATTACTTATAGAAGGCTCATGACTTCCCATTATTTTATTTTCAATGTTTTTGGTATGATTAAACAGAAAAACACAAGACTTAGAGATATTAAAATCCAAAAGAGTCAAACAGGAAGCATTCCTCCTATCTTCAATGTGGCGAATGTCATTCAATAAGCTAACTAGACTGGTAAATGTACTAAAATGTGGCCTAAACCCTGACCGAGAGTCTTGAATAATTTTGGCTAAATTTACAAAAGTGGAGATTTGTTGTCCTCTATTCTTTTTGAAAAAACTGATTATTCTTAGATCTTTTGACCCACTGGGATTTGATATTTTAGCAACTGCTTTTATAATGGCATTTTCCCAAAGATTATTAATATCTATTAAAGGATTTATGCATTATAGAAGACAGAGCTTGAAATCTTTTATAGAAATTTCGTCTTCTCCACTTGCGTTTGTGGATGGATAATCTGTAATAATTCATCTTTGCTAATTTAACTGAAATTTATATTATATGTAATATTTGGATGGACATTAAGTTGTAATAGTTTATTTTATCAACTAACCAAGCACTTGAGTGCAAAATATTTATTTAAGTGAAAACCGTACGAAGGACTAAAAAAAATTAATAGATCAAATCTGCTCATAAATGAATGCAAATGTCATTATTTTTTGGAGGAAATCAGCGGCGGCCACTGACTCAATGAACAAATAATATTTTAGTTAATTACTTCGCCATGCACTGGTTAAATCGGAAGCTTTTTCTTGAAAAATAAAATATTTATCTTAAACAAAATATCTAGTTTACAGATAAGAAAAAAAAAAGATTTTATTTTTACAGTTTTAATAAAATAACATAACATTCTAATAACAAGATAAACGGTCCTTATTTAAAAAAAAAACACTACCTACTATTAAATTTTTGTAACAAAATGTAGCAGAATATTTAACATTAACTTAAATAATTAAATACATTTAATTGGGAGACTGTTACGTCTTCTTTACAAACTAATACCACGAAGAAAACCAACTGTTACTCTAATACCCCTACCAAAGGGTGAAATTAATTGTCCAAAAAAAATTTTATATATATATATATATATATATATATATATATATATATATATATATATATATATATATATATATATATATATATATATATATATATATATATATATATATATATATATATATATATATATATATATATATATATATATATATATATATATATATATGATGACACTATATTCCGGGATATCATCCGTTCGCTCGTTGAACTCCGACTGGAATCCTGCAAATCTTGCATCCGACTGGAATCCTGCAGACGTTTCGCCAAAATCTCACTTGGCATCTTCAATGCTCGCGCTCCGAAAACACTTCGAAGTGTTTTCGGAGCGCGAGCATTGAAGATGCCAAGTGAGATTTTGGCGAAACGTCTGCAGGATTCCAGTCGGATGCAAGATTTGCAGGATTCCAGTCGGAGTTCAACGAGCGAACGGATGATATCCCGGAATATAGTGTCATCACATTTTTCCATCCGTGAATCAATACGTGAGAATATATATATATATATATATATATATATATATATATATATATATATATATATATATGTCGAACAATAATTTTATCAAAAATGGACGTGCAAAAAAAAAAACAGTTTTTATATTATATAAATTCAAGAGACGAAAAAGCAGTAGTTTTAGCCGCTTTATTTAAGTGAAGTATCAAAATTAAATTAAAGTCAATGGCGTACATTCTTATCGATTCATTATATTAATTTAACAAATATTATTTAAAAACCTAAACTTTAAAAAACCTGGTAACAATGCATTTGCGGACCTACATTTATGGGAAGTTTTTTCATCAAATGATATGTATATCATTTTCATTGGTGTATTAAACAATAGTGCTCCCATATTTTTAGCAACGGAGGATGTAGCGACTCTATAGCGACATACAGTGTGGTAGCTGGAATTTGGTCGTGCATGTATTCGCTAGGAGAAGTGATTGGACCCGCTCTAGGAGGATTCCTTCTGCAGTATTACGGCTTTCCTGTAGCTTCGAGCGTAATGGCGGCGTCTACATTTTTCATGGTAAATATTTGCAAGAAAATAGTTACACAAAACATTCTCTAAGCTGTGGAATTTAAGGGAGTTATAGCTTTCTTTTTTTACGCTTTTCAATCTTCGTGGGGCGAAAACGAATCCTGCTCTGATAGTGGGATCAGCGCGTCCTGGAAGAACAGCGATAGTGACGAATCTGAGGAAACGGATCCTTTGCTACTTTCTGGAATAGGATCAGGCTACCGATCGTACACTGAGGAAAAAGTTCAATATTACGGAACCAGCAGGAGACAGGATTATAAAGTGAGATTATTTCTTATCAGTTTTGATTTGCGTTGGTTATAGGATTAGGTCCCAGGAAAAAATACTTTTTCGAAGCTGAAATTATAGGATGAAAAATATGCGATTCAGAATTATTTGTCGCACAGGTTGTTGGTGGTTCTTGATATGTCATTTCCATTCGGGTTTACCAAAGAAATGATCATAAATATATTTTAGAAGGAGAGTCCTTTTCGAAATGTCAAGGAACACAAATCTTCTTAATATTTGGGCAGATATATCGCACTGCGCAATTCAATGAAATTCCAGTCGCGCATTGCCTATACCGATTTTGTTCGTCGTGCTGAGTTGAGCATGCATGATAGTTCCATCAATTTCAAGTAATTTATTCAGAGAAAGAAGACAGATTCCTACGTTAAATTTTAATGGCTGGTTCTTACATATCTTCTACCGATTGTCGTTATAAACAAGTATATATAATTGGCAGACAGTTCCTGTGGGCCATAACTTCCTTAAACATTTTTGAAAAATAAGGCAACCTACGTCATAGTAGCAAAGACGCCGTTTATCAATGTTATTGAGAGTAACATTATAAAATTACGAATAAATAGGCGGATGAATCAGATGACCAAACACCTTGCCGGGTGCGAAAAAATGTTCAGCGCGTGGATATATCTCTCTCTCTCTCTCTCTCTCTCTCTCTCTCTCTCTCTCTCGGAACTCACGCCGAATGCCTACTCTGTGTGCGTGGCACTGTATGTTGCTGGTTACTGTTTGCGCTGTGGTTTACTGTTACTTTGTGTAAGTGGATACAATTTTGAATTTGTCATGGCAGATTCGATGAAGTGTATTTTTTGTAATAAACAATATTAATACATAGAAAGAACAAAACCTCAAATATAAAGACATAGTTTTGCCTGTAGAATTTTATGATCAACACGGTTACCACAGAGAGTGTTATAAGTCATTTACAGTATTATAAAAACAATATTATAAACCTAAAACTACAATAATATAGCAACAAAGGAAATAACTTCAAACTTAATAGATCATCTATATTATTGGGTGCAGAATCCTTTGTATCCTAGGCTCCAAGTTTAACACTTAATTTACAATACCAGAACGAATTATTTTATCTGTGTTATCCAAACCACAGCCATCAACCTCTAAGAAAAATATTCAATCAGAAGATATTGATTTAATTATAGGAGATTATATTCCGGTGTTAAAATGAAGTAAACATTGAATCTGAAGATATAATTTGCACATATTGTGACCAGAAAAGAAAAAAGCATCAATCAAAAATGCAGCGGTTACAGTGATGTGATCAAAAAAAATTTTTAAGAAAGAAAATGAAAATTTTAAAATTTAATTTAAATTAAATAGCTTTGAGGAGATAAGATTTTATTGGAGAAAATGTAATTGAAAAAGGACGGTCTTATTTTTTAACTTATCTTCACAGATATTGTATTAATTTTTTCGAGAGAAGGGAAGAAAAGCAGTTTGAGAAAATTTCGGAAAATTTCACGCCAAGCATTTAGAACAAAAATTAATCTAAGAATTTAACAAAGAGATAAAAAAAATTATTCATAATAAAAAATTATTTGATCCTAAATATTTGACTGCCGTAGAAGATATTTTGCAAAAAGCTGCCAAAAAAAAATTACTGAGCAAGATTTAGACAAAAGATTTAAAAAATGGAGAGATTACAGTACCACAAGAGGTGTTGGGTTTTTATTTCACACTTATGGCTGGTAGTAATCGCAACAGAAAAAATACTCGTAAATGTATTCATTAAGTCCGATAATTCAGTGAAGATTATGCTTGAAATGAGGTTGAAAAGTTTGACAAGCAGTAGGAAAATTATTGATATTATTCACACATATGAACATTGCATCAGTTACCAAGGGATTGAAGAGCTGGAAACAGAAACGACGTATATATCCATCAAGAAGTCAAGTTTGATTCCAGAAGCAATCCAAAAATCTCCTGACCTTTGTATTGCTGTTGCCTGCGATAACTTTGATCGATTCGTTGAAACGAGAAGTGGCAAAGATACATTGCATGATACTGTTCATATTATTTATCAAAAATTTGAATCGAATATTCCAACATATCAGAAGAATGTAATTTGTCTGATGCCACTATTGATGACGAAACTTGAAACTTGAAAAAAAGAAGGCGAAGAACATTTGAAGCTATTTCTGTGCATAAAGTTTCTTACCCAAAGAAGCCAAGAATGCTTTGCAGATTCCGAAAATACCAATGTGGGTTGTTTATAATAGTTTAATAATTGACAAGAGTAAACTGATGCAAAAGATTTCATATTTCCTATAAATTCATCACCCACAAATATATCAATAGTCCCTGAAAGTATGAAACAAGTCAGCAAATTTATCAAGAATTAAAACAACCTTCCATTCAAGTTACGTATGATTTGGCCATTGAAATAGTATATTATGCTTCAAGTGCGGTGCAGGCACAGGTGCGGCATTTGACTCACGAGTTTTTAATAAGCGGGTGAGTTAAAAAGTTTACCGAACGTGTTGCATTCTATACTTTTTCTATGACCGTTGTTAGTTTTTGGGTCCATTTTCGCAAACCAACACGAATACATTCACTGACATGACCGTCCAAATTGACAATAAATAACAATAAATATAAATATATTAGTGCGGTAAAATCCCGGAAATGTCCGAAGTGGCTCGGAATCATGGGAAACGAAACTGACGTGGTAAAGTGACGCTTCCCGCACGCTAGATCGGTGGGTAATTAGGTATTTTACAGACGGGAGTAGAAAAAAGTAGTTATACAAATTTAAGCTACCGAAGCACCTACATTTGATAATTTATTTATTCATATAGGAGCTTTTCATATAATGAAGGCTTATTTCAAAGCAGTCGGAAAAATTATCATTGGTTGTGGCTTATCAAATATTATGGTTCAAAGCAATTTGTTAGCCGATGATCCATTAAACGGATGTCTTGAAGGAAAACATTTCAGCAGGTGTAAGCGACTTCTCCCTTTGATGGCTTTGGGATTGAAAATTTTAAATTTCAAGTCATTCTTAAAAACAAAAAATAAGTTACAAATTCAATGATTGAGGAACAGGCCCGATCAAGTTCGACCTACAAATTCCGCAAAAGAATTAAAACATTCTAAACAGGCACTGGTTGATTTTTTTATTCTTCACTGACCTATTAATGAAATATTTCATCAAGTAAGTAATTTACCATCCTGCAAAAATGAATTACTTAAGTAACTTCAATTAGCTAATCATATTGGTAGTATCTGGAATAATGCCCATATAAAAAAATCCGAACATTTTTAGTCCAATATTATTTCTATTGGTTCGACGGTGACCAATTACCAAGTTTATTAATTATAAAATTTAAAATATTTTTATGCATTTGTCGATATCAATAATATAATTATTTAATTAATCGTTGCAGAAGAACCAAATGACGATTTAACTGACTGACTGTTAATTATTTCTGACGAGAACGATAATAAAATGAATACAATTAATGTACTAATCAATTTTTATATTGTTATTTATCATTTTTATTTATGTATTTTGTAGACATAAAATACTTCTAAATTTGTGAAGAATTGTATTTTTATAATAAAACAAATTTTCAAAAATATAAATACATAAAAATCAATATATACATATTCATAAATATAAATATAAATATAGTCTGTATAGTCTGTCTTACACACAGTGGAACTTTTTTCGCGACCGGGAGAGTGTTTGGCCCCGACTGTTTGACTATAATTTTATAATGTTACTCTTAATAACATTTAAAAACGGCGTCTTTGCTACTATGACGTAGTCGCCTTATTTTTTAAAATGTTTAAAGAATCCGCCAGAAGTTATAGCAAACAGGAAGTGACTGTCAATTATATATACTTATTTATAACAACAATCTGTATAAAATATATAAAAACCAGTCATTAAAATTTAAGTTAGGTACGCAATGTTTTTTACACCTTTTCGATTTACTAATTTTCAGCTTTGCTAAAATGATGTAGGTCTGCCGTGCTTGGGATCTTGCACTATCAGCAAGCAAAGCACACAAAAACAAAATGACTGCCGGTCCTGACAGCATACTAAGTTTTATCGTGATTGTGCTCCTTTATGTCATATTTTTGACCTGGTAGTTGACGGGTGTTTATTCAGAACCTTGGAAAATTAATTGATTTACTGCAAAAACTGATACTTTCGTACTTAATTCCTTTCATTTAATTGAATTGAATTAAAAACCAATACATTAGATCCAAGCGATATTCTGATTAGGCCCTATCTAGCAGGCATTCTATTTCTAAACATTATTTGAGATATATTAAAATCCGGAAATCTAGACCCAAATCTTATCATCTTAATTGAAAAATGCGGGAACGGCTGTGCTTTCTCTATTATCACCAAGTCAACGCGAATGTATTTATGTTATTAGGTTGATGATATTTTTGTTATTTGACCTCATAGTCAAGAATCCCCCCGAAATTTTCTTAGCCATTTAAACTCTATATACCCTACCCTACGTCTTACCATTAAATTAGAAACTAATAATAATCTCCCATTCTTAGATATTTCTATCAATAAAAAGTCAGACCTAACCTTGAGTTTACAGATGGATTTTGGATTCGGGTAAAAACATTATCAGGGCATTTTTTAAGGCAAATGCCGTAACGTTCTCATATTTTTGCTAGAGTTTTCTGTGTTCTGAATTAATACAACTTGTTATTTTATAGGACAATCATAGTTGTCTATGGTCTTTAAAAAATGCCCGTCTCGAGCCGTTTTCAGCCATATAGATTTGTTGGCATCTGTGACGAAAAAAAGAGGACATTTTTTGTTTATGTATTAGTATGCCATGCATAATATGTTCAAAAAGACGTCACATAGAAACTTAATAATTTAAAAGCTTTAAAAAACATTAGGCCAATTTTTTAATATTTAATTTTAATATTTTTTTTATTTAGAAAACAAAATTATAGTTATTTTAACCTAATAAAAAAAAATACAATAAATATTGGAATACAAAATATTTTTACCTTTTTGCATTAATATCAGCTATAGGATTGATAGAAGCAAGCGCTTCTCGAATGACTTCCTCTAACTCTGCTTTGATTTGAAAAATTATATCTTTAAATATAAGATCTTTTAATCTGCCCCATAAAAAAATCCAGAGTTAAATCACACGGAGCAACCATCTTGATGATAATAAATGCTCCTTCCCAGAATTAATGGCAAGTCTTCCAAAAATAGAACAACACATATTCGCAAAATATTTATATAATCATCCGCTGTCAGATTTCCGTTTAGAAAAAATAACGTGCCATAAATCTTCCTCGGAATATTCCTACCGATACATTGAATCCAAAGCGACCTTGCCGATTTTAATACACTGCAGCATGAGGATGAGGATCCCTGTGCTCCAGGGATAAGTATTCTATCTGTTAAATATTCTGGAATCTTCAATTCTGGCTTCATCCTTCCAAACAATAACCAAGGAAAAATTAATGTTCTCATTTCCTTTTCCAAATAAACCAGCGCAAATTTGTATTCTTCTATGGGCATCCTCTTTATGTAATTAGTGGACTTTTCTGGCTTGAATTTGTGTTTTTTTAAAGTAGTCAAAACTTTAGTTTTTCTAGCATTTGTTGCGTCAGGTGGTGCCCGTTAGGATATGCTTGGATTTTCCAATACTTCTCCAATTATGTATTGATTTCAGCGGTTTTGATTTGGCATTGGCTTTTTGAAACTATCGTATTTGCTTAAATTAATTTATGTCCGAAATATTCACTGTCTAGTTGGTGCCGCTCTGGATATTTATTGAAATTTGAAATAAAGTTCATTCGATGCCTCTGCGTTTTCGTTTGATAAAAAGTATGACTTTATCATATCATTTTTCAAATTTTGGTACATTTTAAATTGTTAAATGAACAAAAAGCTTAACTTTGGCCACTAAAATTATGTCTGACAGAACACAAAATTCAAGAAAGAATAATAGTTATGTCCTTAACTGACATTGATATTGAATATAAGCATGCCTAGATTTCATCATAGACACCAGAAAATCAATATGGCTAGGGTTGGAAACGGGCATTTTTTAAGACCACAACCGACCATATAAACATATAACATGACGTATAAAACTCCACTGCCAGAATCCAGAATGTTCATATATAAAAAAGTTATGGGCAATTATTAAAAGTCGAAAATTGAAAAACGCCCTATATGTCTGTTAGCAGTAAATATCGCCATGCGGTTTTGACCATTAAATGGTTCTCAAAATTCGAGCTCTTGACATGTGAGTCGATTTTGCTATATCTAGTTTAGGAATAGGTTTTTCCTGTGAAGACACTCCAATTACGACCACCCTGTACTGTGTAGCCTTCGATAAATTTCACCTGTTTGCTAGAAATTTTAAATTACCATAAGTTAAATTTCTTGACTATCGGAAAATTTTGTGTTCGTTTCCTTTATGTCGACGATTCAGTATTTTATCAAAACCTTGACTTGACATCCTCAAAAACTTTACTTGAAACCTTTATTGTTATTCTAAGGGGAAACTCAAAAGACTCCATAAAATTTTGGGATACAGGGTGGTAAAGTTTTCAAAATTAAAATGTATTTTTTTAATATCTGTAATTTAGTAATCTAATATGACCGTGCAGAAAAGATGTTTTTATTTTTTTAAAGCGAAAAGTGTACATCGGATTGAAAAAAATCAAGAAATTAAATTTCTTTACAAATGATTTGATATTGTAATAATTATTTTTATTTTAAGAGAAATCAGTGGCGTACCACCATTGTCTGCCAAAATAAACTGTTGAAATTCAGTACGCCCGCCACTGGTGTATTTTCAAAAAAACTATGCCTCTTGATACATAGTACATGTGTCCCAAATTGCATTAAATTATCTAAACTTTCCAACCTGTATCTTAAAAGTTAAAATGTTTAGGACATGGCTTGAAAAATTCTTTTGCCCAAAGTTTATTTAACCTAATTTCAAATCGGTTCACAAATTTATCATTTAAAAATTTTAGAGTCAAAAATTCTGAAGAGCAAATCAAACAAGTGATAGAGGATACTTTCTGACTCTTGATAGTGGCTACTATTTGATTGTGATCGATTCTTCAAATTTTTTTTGTTCATTTTATGTCTATTTGTTTTGGTTGGTATGTATGGATGATTGTTATGTATTACGTTTTTATACATTGTTTTGTATAAATTTCTTTGTGCTTGGACGTGCTGTGAATATGTTATGTTAACACAGTGAAATGAATAATCTATCACAGGGAGCTTATGCTCACCGTTAGCAAGCTGGGCGACAAATTATTCTAAAGTTCGAATAGCTTCGATATGAAAGAGAAACGTGAGGCCTAATCCCACGATCCACGAAAATCAAAGCTAATTATGCAAATACCACCATCAACTATATTAAGGCTAACTAAGGCTGAGGCGTAATTTTCTTTCTAGCTAGGCGATGTGGATTTTAATCAGGTTACCGATGTGAGAGGCACCATTTCTATAACTGCCAGAGGATCGTGCGAAGTATAGCAGCAGTGTTATTTATGATTTGCTTTTAGATTAATTTATTTTAATTTTTTGAAGTTAATGCAATAAATATAATTTGCAAATATATAGTTTAAATGAAATTGGATACAATTTTCTAGCAAAAAATAAAGACGTTTTAAAAATCGAATTGATCTGAAAATGCTATCGTAGTCATGAACAAAACTGACTGTGAAGAAAAAATTCAAGATATTCTTGCAAACGGATCTTATCGTCAACTTAAAAAGAACATACGTCATCTATGGAATACAGTCTTGGTTCTCTAACCTATTCTCTTGCAAATTATTTAGTTTCTATATTAAAACCCTTTACAGAGAAAACTAACAGTTTCCTACTTGATTATTTTCACTTCATTGAACAACTAAACCCCTTTATATTAGATCCAAAGAATATTCTGGTTAGTTTCGACGTACTAAAGTTGCATTCATGAAGCTGTCAAATATAATTTCAAATATATTAAAAAACGAGAATCTAGAATCAAATTTTAATTAAAAAATTATTATATGGGTCAAATTTATGAAAGAATAACAGAAACAATTGGATCTCCATTATCACCATTCAATAACTAAGGATTTTTTTGATTGATCAAGAAATACAGATTTTTGTAAACAAAAATTGTAAAATATAAACAGCTTTAATTTTAATATCATTTATTATATTTAATATTTTGATTTCCTGTAAAGGAGGAAAAGCCCAGATTATGGTCACTTAGACGATCAACATGGATTACCCGCTTATCTATTACAAGTCTAGTCTAGAAGTGTCGCAGGGGAGATTCTAATTGGTTAGTCGATGAGTCGGGGTATACTCAAAAAAATTTGCAAAGCTTTTAAAAAGCTTGATCTCAGTATTTTGATTATCAAGTAAATTAATATTAAAATCACCGATTCCGAAAATACCATCGACAGTGTATATAAAGTTGATCACTCATTCTCCAAGTAATTAAATAAACTAATGTAATCAAAATTTTCGAATTAGTGTTTCTGTTATACCATATATATCTATACTGTTTTTCAATAAAATCTCTTTAAAAGCACAGAAATTCTGAAAAGATTGTTCTGCGGAATATGCGGAATTTTTCTATGTGAGAGTTAAACTGTGAACCCTCATATGGTCGGGCAAGGAATAACGAACCGCAACAAAAATAAATTACGTTTGAAAAGCAGCCGTTCTGTGCTTAGGAATCCTGAAATCCTAAGATATTCGAGTTGACAGGAGTTCAAAATTCTAGAAATAAAATTATATATGTGACACTCTCATACTCTGACGTAATGGGATATTGAAAGAAAAACGCATACCAGAGTTTTGAACTTTCTGTATAGCAAGAGCTGTGTGAGAATTTAGTGAGCTCCCATGAACAACATCCGCATAATCAAAGGCAAGATGAGACTATTGCACAAATAGAATTTAGTTTTGGCGGACAAAACTTTTTTAAAATCTTACAGTTTTTTAAAGCATATAAGCAATTTTCAGTTTGTTATTAATATGTGATTGGAAAGCAAGAGATTTTTCAAAAATTACTCTTCTTAGCTTTGGTAACGATGGGTAAAAATTTATTATTTATAGAAGGCTGAAAACTTCTCATTATTTTATTTCCAATGTTTTCATTATTATGGAATAGAAGAACATAAGACTTAGACGCATTGAAATCCAAAAGAACAGGTAGCATTCCTCCTATCTTCATGGTTTCGAATGTCATTCAATAAGCTAACTAGACTGGTATATGTACTAAAATGTGGCCTAAACCCTGACCGAAACTCTTGAATAATTTTGGGAAAATTTACCAGAGTACACTTTTATTGGTAGATGTCCCTCTTATTTTTGAAAAAACTGGAAGTATACTCATTGGTCTTAGCTCTTTTGGTTCACTGTTATTTGATATTTTCGCAACTGTTAAGTTTTTTTGTAGTTAATTTTGTTTGTTTTACCTTGTGTACTATTTTTGTTTCCAACTGTAGAAAACTTTTGAATATTACTTTCAGTGTTTGGGGGTTGAACTTGAACTTTTTGTAATTGTTTTCAATTTGTTTTTTTTTCAATCATAAGGCTAAATTTTGTGATACTTTCTGTATTGTTTTGTTGCGAAATTAATATTTTTATTGTTATTTAAACTCTAATGCACCCTAACATACGTTTAATCATTCTTCAATAAGACCATTGACCAACATCATTGAATCATTCACATGACAGAAAACACAGACCGATACCTTAATGCATTGTCACATCACCATCCGGCCAAGAAGTCATCGGTTATCAACTCTCTGGTTTACAGGGCCGTAAAAACATCTTATCTTGAACCACAGAACCACGAATCAAAAAAACTAACATCTACTCTTCTCTCAAATAATTTCCATAACCTCCAATAAAACCTAATAAAAATGAGTGCGAAAGCCAATGTGGTCTTTGAATACTAGATTTACCACTTGTCCAAGGGATACAACAGGAGTTTACAGCATATGCGCGAAAAAATACTGTTGAGTTTATTTTAACGGTTCTCTAGAGCCTATGGAATTGTCACTGATTAAATGGACTGCATATTGTTCACACTTCTTTATTTTACTTTTTAATTACAAAAAAACAGCGGCAGCGCTTGGTGAAACACCGACATAGATATGGAACGGGTGGCCTAACCACTTGGCGTTAAATATATTTACTAATTTAAGAAAATAATGCCCAACATGGCGAAAATATCTTAAACATACCGTCCACCTTTAAAACGCGCGGTTTTCAACAACGACCAAAGTATTACATTGTAATTGTTGCCTACGTTCGCCAGAAACAACAAAGGAGCTGCTAAAAAGTTACATGGCCGGTTACCCAAAGAGAACAGAAAACAATAATGAAAAACAAGAATTATATTGACTCTGAGTCATAACTCATAATCAAATACATGAGGACACACTACGCATTCATGTCAATAGGTAGTGGTCGCACTTTATTAACAGATCTTTTCACAACCCTACCCTAAGTTTTCACTTCGACAACCCGCAAAATGCCGTTAGACCCTGGAAAATCTTGAATAATCCGTCCCAGCTTCCACATGCAGGTGTTTTCTTCCACTAGGAAAACCAAGGTTCCAACTTTGAGGTTTTCTCCCTTTTAGGTCCATTTATGGCGTACTGTACTCTTTACTCCAACAAGTCCAGAATTATTGTACCATAGCTGCTATGCGTTGGTACTTGTTCAGTTTATTTTCTGGTATTTCCACTAAATTTGATTGAGGTATAGCAGACAAGCTAAGCCCAATTAAAAAATGTGAAAGAATAAGAGGGTTGCGATCAAGTGGATCATTGAAAATTGGAGGCAAGGGCTGGATCTCCACCAACAGGGTTGAAAAATGCTCATATGTTAATGAATTACTATTACCCTGAATTACCCGCATTAAATGAAATTTCGCTTTTTTAATGGCAGCCTCCCACAGCCCTCCGAAGATCGGTGACCTGGCTGGCATAAAGTGCCACTTTATCCTCTCCTTAGCAGGATAGCGTACAATATTTTCGGAATTTTCCTGAAAGAAATTGTACAAATCATTTAACGGTGCGCAAGCGCCAATAAAATATTGGAGGGCTTACCTCTTCGTCCCATAAATCGTTTTGAGGTGTTGAAAAAGGCAGCAGCAATTAATGCAGTCACTGCTTCTAAATGACAAGCTTTTGTTGACATACAAATAAAAAGACACAAGTAGGCCCTTATCAGTTTAGGACGTCTAGTTATGTGCCTTTCTCGAATAAGAAATGGGCCTCCGTAATCCGTCTTTGAGAACAGATTACTCGGTTGTACTCTCTCAGAAGTAGCTGAAGCATTAAATATTCTAAACCAGTGGGTCGTATCTCCAAACACGTTAGGCAACCTTTGATTTTTTGTGCAACTATTTTTTACTGCAATAGGTCAAAATTTTTCTCTCAATGAGTTAATTAATAGTTGCGTACCGCAGTGCAACAGTCTCTCATGTTCATATTTGATTATTAGTTCAGTTAATTTATCCTTTTTGGGTAAAATGGTCTGGTGTATTTAATCGAAATTTAAAACAGAATTTTTTAGGCTTCCGAATACTCGTATTAACGATTGGTGCTTAAAGGGATTGAGTTTTAAAATTTTAGAATTTTTTTTAACTGGTTATCCTTCGGCTAAAAGTATATATTCAATTTCAAAGTTTTTTATATGAATAATTTTAATCAAGAATAAAAGTGCATTTTCAAGTTCATGCGGTTGTAAAACTTTTGGAAATTTTACCTTTGTTGTTCTGACATTTTCTGGTAGCTCAAAATATTTTTTATATTGTCGCTGATTTGACATAATTTGGAGTGATCTTAATAATCAACCAAAAACTGTAATTAATTTACTCAAATTTGAAAAACGATCAATAATTGGTAAAAATTCTGAAAATTTGTCATTAATGACAAAGCAAGTACCAATAGTTTTTATGTCTGGTATGTCTCGAAAAATTAAGTTAAAATTTATTTACCTCCATGACTAATCGCTCTCAACTAACCTCAGTGGACTACACCCTCTCGATGCCAAATCTGCAGGGTTGCTGTTAGTTTTTACATGATGCCAATCTGTTTTATTTGTTAAAGAAAAAATTTCACTCATTCGATTGGCAACAAAAATTTTGTTTAGCAAAATTTATTTCAAGTGGTTCCCTAACCTTTTTTGCCAAGTTAGCTAACAAAACACAAGCAGAAAGCTCAAGGTTCAGTAGACTGATAGTATTTATCGGTGCAACTCTTGTTTTGGAGCAAAGCAAACTTGTAAAAATCTTGTTTTATGCATTTTTTGCATCTTAGGCATATACATGCTCCGTATGCTTTCATGCTAGCATCTGCAAAACCGTGAAGTTCGATATGAACGTAGTCAGTGAGACAAGCATGTCGCGGAATTTTTTAAGTATTTATTATTTTAAGATTCGTTTGAAATTGCATCCAATTTTGAAAAATCCTATGGTACATTCTCATACCACGAGGCTTTTAAACGCCAAAGTTGTTGCATAATCAATTTTGCCTCAACAATAACTGGGCTTAATAACCCTAAATGGTTGTAAGAATCTGACGCTTGGATATTTCAGTGATGTCA